GGAACATTTGCAGCAAATAAGCTAGGCGTTAAAACTAGCTCAAACTGGCGCACTCAACAAGCGGCCGTTCGCATCAGATAGATATCTAGAAGGCTGGACATTACTTTTGCGATATCGACAATGCTCAGCGGATGAAATGGTCGCAGACCTCATAAATAATTGTCATAAGGTAGATAGCGCTAGATGGATTGACGCGACGCTAACGAGGAAGTTGAGACACAGTTGAGCTTTGAAAACTATATCGAACTACGCAATAGGTTCAAGATTTTTTTCCATATAAATGTTAAAGAGCAAATCGTAATACGATGAACTATCAACCTGTTTTGGTTTTGATATTCTAAAACTCAAGAAATTAAACCGAAACGCGATTACGCTTTACGACTTTTCCGACTGAATTTTGATATTCCTAACTCACATTGAATGTCTAGATTCTAGACGTTGAAGACGAAGTCAACCTTATTGAAAAAAAAATAGATTGATTACATATTATTGCGCTTATTGAACATCCAAACGTCTAAATAGATTGACATCTTATTTAGACGTTATTATAAAACGTTATGAGGCCGGGGTAATTTACCTACCATCAAGTAAACCGCGTGCTTGTTTGTCCTTCTATTCTCTATCATTGACTTGGTGGGAATCGAACCAGCGAGTCGTTGATTTTTGTTTTTTCTTACCCACGAGTCCATCATTGGATAATACATATTTTTTATTTATCTTGATTGACTTGCCTTGATAGATTGCCCCCACTCCTTCTTAAAAGTTGGTATAAATACTATGTTATTTAATATTATAATAACATTAATTTATATATTAAAATACAACTAACACACACTAACAAAGTCATTAGCCTCGCTCGTAGTAGTTTTGTAAGAAGTTCACGCGGTAACTCGTGCGTTTCTGGAAACAAAATATAGGCATTTCGGTATTACCCAACGCGTATTCGCACGCGGCGCATGCGCCACTCGATAAGCGTATGATGCGAATTCACATAACGCGGTTACGCTGCCTTACGTTATGCACTACTTGTAACGCCCATGAAGCCGTAACGGAAGATAATAGGTACATAGTTATTGAGTCGATCGTTTATCATACCAATACGACGCAATTTCGAACTTCAATCGGGTCGCAAGTTCGATTCCATCCGGGACTGGAAATCAATTTATAATTATTCTGAAACGTAACTACGTCTGGAAAATCTGAATATTGAATGGGTGGTGCGAATATCAAATTCTTATCAGAAGACCATCTACAGGTCTGAAAAGTCTAATCGCATTTCGGTTTCAGCCTGAAGATTTTTGCATGTCCATAGCTAGAATAGGTCGACATCTTGTTAAGACTATATGTTTCACCAACCACGCTCGTCATGCAAGATTGCAACAAAAATTAGGCAAAAGAATTAACACGTTATCGCGACGCCGCCGTGCCCTTCCCGTATAAATTAAGATAAGCGGGTATAAATTAAGTTATGCCGATAGCTGAAACAAACGCTTATAATTTAAATAATGTGACGCAATAGGTTCGAAGCGGTCGTCAGAATGTAGCCGATCACGAGAATTGGGCGTATGTGACACACGTTGGGCGCGGGCGAGAGAAAGCGTACTCAATCAGATAACTGAGATTGTCAACTCCTGAAATTGGGTCGCGCGTCGATACACTCGACTAATTAATTGGCCGAAAAGCAGAGATAACTGTTATGAAATGTGGGAGCTATTTTAAAAAACTGATAAGTACTAGCCGGACTCTCGCACGATAGGTTCCGTACCAATAACGAACTAAAATAGTTCATTATGATATATAAGTGCCGTAGGTTGAAATTACAGCCGAGGCGATATTACTCGCCCGAGCCACGCGAGGTAGAAAGCAGAGGCTGTAATTTTCAAAGCGCAGTATGTCATACGACGTTTTATAACATATTTATGAGGAAATTAATAAAACCCTAACTTAGTTAAATGTTTATTTGTTATATTTTCACATTTCGGTTATTTTTATTGTCCACAAAAAATCGACCACTTTTTTTAGGCGTACATAAACACCTACTTGCTAATATTTTTGTGTATGTTAAAAGTTTGTCAAATTTATTAAATGAAGAATTAAATGTTTATTTGTTATATTTTATTTCCCAAAGTTATTTTATTCATAAAAATTACACGTGATAAAACCCTTTTAAGATTTACATTATCGCATTTTTACACGGAGTATCTTAAAACTTTTTAAAGAAATCTACATTACATATTCGAAATTGGTAACAACCACTTTACGAGCAAATATGTTATAAATTTTATATCCCAACCGATTTTGAGCTACTAAGCCTATCTGTTAATCTTTATTATTGCAAAAAGAACTATAATATAAATATTATTTTTATTTTCATTTTTGTATTTGTTGACGCCGTCGCACTTTTTAAGATAAATCCGGTGAAAGACAGACAGCGCTGTCACAGTAAAAGGTACCCCTTTTAGCCGTCGCACACGGAACCCTAAAAAGGCCAATCTTATCGTCGTATCGTACTTGATTTTAGCTTCGTTAAGGACAAGCTCAATGTTATCCTTAATTATACGCGACAAAATATAAAACATTCACAATAAATACGATTAACATAAATAATATTAATTTGCTTTGTCTTTTAATTTCGATTCAAATTGAGTCATAACATTTCAACTTATTAGTACTTAGTACTAGTTTCAACTCCAACAGAACAAATATAATACAAATGTGAATAATTTTCAAACAAATGCCAACATATATTGCAGCCAGGAAAATAAAATCTTATTTACTGCGTTATATACATTTGCAAATTGTATCATTTACATTTAGTTAATTTCATACCAAAAGTAGTACAATATTAATAGGAACATTTAAATATGCAGTTACTCATGAAAACAGCAGCCAGTAGACAGCCTCTAAATTAGTTTCTTAACGTTTATGAATCATTAATACCAACGTAAGCCGAGCTGTATTGTTTTAGTTAGAAACTTAATAGCTCCATTATACAAAACAAACACTACATAAACGTCACAAAATCTATAAAACCCGACTGCGGCCGAGTATAGTTTGATAATCATTGCCAAGCATTGCCTCTAGTTTAAAAATCTACATTTTTTTTCACACGATGGCATTATATAAATAAATATCTATATAGATAAAAAAAAAACAAGATAGAGAGAGATCGGACGAGACTTGAACTGGATTGAAGTGTGATTGAGCTACCGTGTATTAGTTGTGGGCTTCAATTACATAGAGAGCGTCAAACGCTATGGTTCAAGTTCTCGCCCGTGCGTGAAGTTATTTGAATCTGTATAGATTTTTAATCTATAAAACTGTTTTAACTTTGAAAACTTTAATATTTTTTACATGTTATTGCACATGAAGGCACTATATAATTTAACAATCGAAAATAATTTGAAAAAATCTTTATGACTCGGTAGCTAACTTGATAGAGCAACAGCACGGAACGCTGACGATGCCGGTTCAAATCCTGCCCGAGTCGAACATTTTTTCAATTTATTTTCGATTTTTAAATTACTCTTAACTGTTAACTGCTTAATTATAATTAATTTTATTTTAAACCGTCCAGCGTTTTGTTTAAATACGATTGTCAACTCGTATTTACAGTTACCAACATGCATTATGTATTTGGAAAAATACTCGTGTCTCAACGGAATTCTCATAAAACAGTAAATGTTTATATTTATTACATCGATGTGATGCTCAGGTGGGGCTAGAGTGCACCGTTATCATTAAATACTCTATCTATTAGTATGCGTGGTTTGAGAATACGCTTCGCCCGATATGCGGAGAAAGCCGGCGTCCTCCATAGAGTTAGCTATCTTTTTTATGATAGACGAGGACAAACTTAGGGTGCACTTGACGGAAGACAAAACACCACAATTATATAACATCTCAACGAGTTGCCCTTGCAACGAACTGAAACGCAAACTTCACGGCATCTGTGGGCGATAGTCTGTAACTCGGACGGAATTTCTATATTCCTTCCGTCCACCTAATATGCAGATTTCCAGATGAAGTCCATGTTTCAAGAAAAATTGTAAATGAATTGGAAACATGTTGGACTTGGTGGGAATCGAACCACCCGACCCGTTAATTGTCAAATTATGAAAGCACAGACTGTAATAGTAATTATCAGAAAATTAAATAATCGGTTTGGCCGTATTATTTGTAGCGTCGTTAATTCCATTACACGGATTAACTCCGTATATAATATGCGTACGTCCTCACGACAGTGGAGAGTACAGTTCCATCAATCAGCTCGAGCTTTCTCGTCGTTAGCCCTATAAGGCCGGGCACCACGCCTGGCGCGAGCCACTTCTTTTTCCCTTCGTTTTCTAACTTGTCCATAGAAATCTTAACAGCATATTTCGCGTACCGTCGACTCGCAGTGGAAATCGCGCCGCGCCGTTTCTTCGAGCTTCTTCATAATTTTACATAAGTGTATAGATATACGAGATAACTAGGTATGTAATGGTAGAGACACTTAAAGTAATAACCGGCGAACGCGCCACGGCATAATCGAGCGCTTACACGCGGAGTACTGGGAAGATTATTTGTTTGATAAATACAGAAGTGGGTTTTATGACATTTTCATAACGTTAGTTTGTATGCATTATTTATATTACGTATATATTTTCGTCACAGGCATACGATTATCTATTTAAGTTGGAGTTGTTGTTATTTTATGTCTTCTGTGTATCAAAATAAGTAAATTTAATTTTTACTTAAGTTATTTTCGTTCTTATAAAACATAAATTTAACAAAAAAATAAGTATCAATTATTTGAAAAAATATTGTTTTCACATGTAATTGCACATTGTATTGAATACATTAAAGAGACAAATAAGAGACACGAAAGCTGCATTGGTTAAAGCAGTAACACGGATAGCTGTGGATGCCAGTTCGAATTCAGCCCGTGACATTTATTTCCTTAAGTTCTAATCTAATTTAGTCCTATATGATAGTCATTGATTTATATCTTGTTACAGAGTGTGGTGATGCTTATGTTCCGAGAAGAGAAATCCCCCGAAGACGAGATTAAAGCGTGGCAGTTCTGGCACGGAAGACAACATTCCGTCAAGCAGAGGATATTAGACGCAGGTAGGTCGGCTGACTTAAAATAGAAGTAATCTTGTGGAGGGCAATATACGGTAGCGCTTACGGAGCCCTGCCGAGATATTCTCAACAAAAACACGGCGAATCGTGCTCAAGGCGACACAGAAAGATGGCGGGAGGTTGCGTGCGGCGGCGGCGCGGGCGGCGCTCGCTCGGCACGCAGGACCTAATTACCGTGCTGCAGGCTGATAGCCGCAAAGATGCACCCGCTGTTAGGGCTGCCAAACTCGCGAAATCCCGAAATGCCTAAGTCCTCATTCAAAACAAGCACATCGTTCATATCTTCGATAATGTTATCTCTAAACATCAAAAATACTAAAATAAAAGTGAACGACGCCTCGCGCCAGCCCTAACCTAACACCCCGCTACCCTGCATTATATGTCGTTAGGGCATCGCTGTTTTGCATAAGCAAGCGCACTCCAAGCGCAGCCCACACCGAACGACGAACCTATCAATCCTACACCTAAAAATAAAACTGGCGCCGCTTTCCCCCCACCGCGGCTTCGGATTACCGTCTCCTAACGATACGCGTTACATTAACTTAATTAAAGATAAAATTCAATGTAGCAATAACTTACATAGATGAGGTTAAATAAAACATTATGATAGAGATACCCGACGTTCAAAGTCTACGGCTAAGTAACAGGAAATCGTAAAAATTCGTGAGAAATCTCCGTCTTTAACGACTCGAGAACACCTGTTGGAAATACCGATACGAATATTTGGAGATGGTGAATATTATTGTTGATAGCGTCGGTCGCTCGAAATCCAGAGTGTCGTCTGGAACGTGAAGCGTAGATATTAGCGAAGGTACGGTAGAGTCGCGCGCGGACATAATTACTGCGATGATATCGCCTCGCGCGCTCATTAGCATGTTAATTGCGCGATGAGCCTCCCCTCCCCCACCTCCGCGCTTGAAAAGTCCTGCCGATATTGAATGTACATAATATTTTCATACATTCATGGAAAATAACGTTTCCAGCACGTTTTTAGCCTCAACGAACGGGGGATTGCGTCATCGGAATGTTCGCTTATTAATCGTTTGAGTTTCATGTAAACAGCACTGATATACGACACTGTACACGATCTAATATTACTTAAGGCTTAGAGTTCGTAATGAGTGACGCCGTGGCCGCAAACGGTGCCTATAAATTTTATCTCGAGGAAAATAAAAACATGGAAGCCATTAATTCGCGCGGCGGGCCAAGTTTAATGTCAAGGTTTTGAGTTTTATCTCGTTGTTAGTCGTTTATTTTTTACTTTATTATTTAGATTGTCTTAGAATAGAATTGCCTGTTAAAACGGACACGAATTTACACACGAATGGAATAGAATATTCCGATTTAGACATATAATTGAGTAATGTTTTTAATATCAAAACGAATTTTAGAGATTTAATGGGTCGTCGAGAACTATATTTTTAACGACAAAAATTTAGGACATAATATGTCTACCCGGGATTCGAATACCGGTCTGAACCAGACGATCGGTAGTACTCATAAGCGGTGAAAATGCATAATAAATCGTGCAAAGTGAAGTTAGTAGATTCAAGGCCCAAGGGCGACACCGGACACCTGTGCGCAGGCGTGTGAAAGCGCAGCGGAGCAAAGGGTGGAAAGGGGGAGGGACGGACGCAACGCACCGCGCCTTCACACAATAACTTCTCCGATTACGTCGGATTCTTCTTGTATCGCGTGTCGACCGGCCGTTTCAGCGAAAAGCGGCTTCTTGGCTGGGCCGTCTTTGTTTGCAGAGGCTAAGCGTTAGCCATGCATCGTTTGGCTTTGATTAGCCCATTTCATTTCATTGATTCGGAAAAAGGATATTTCGAATCTAATAAAAAAAATCAACAACAATCTTTGCACATGTAATTAGGTAGGTAGGTTCTAGTCCCTCTTGTCTCCGTTCTCTGTTCGAGCGAACATTTTCCAAAAATATACCACGCTTATATTAACGAGTATATATCATTGGAATACGATATAAATGCAAAACTAGGAATTAATTTTACACTGAAACGGTTCGTGAACAGCAATTATGTAAAACAAGCGCGAGTAGGTGTGAATTTGCGGCGCAGTGACATCTACACGTGAAGTAAGAGATAGTTAAACAATATGGTGTTTGAGGGCGGGCGGCGTCTCCTGATCGTAAACACGTCAGCGGGGCGCGCGCCCGCACAGATTGCGTACAGGCTGATATCCACAGACTATATAACGCACAGAGTAAATATTGTACATACAACAAATGACATTTACAAAACCATATTGTAAAAAAACTTAAATAGCCTTTACAAAGGGCTGGTATTTTTAACTACTATAACCTTAGTTTGTTTTACATTTTAATCTATCGGTTTGGGGCAGTACTCACGTGATCCCAGTGACAACGTAAATATGAAAAAAAATAATTTAACATTATCTATGTGGGAAAAGAATGTTAAATAAAAAATATACTAATTTGAACGCACCCGTAGTTAATCGTTTGACCTTTACAATCTGTGATTCGACCATCTTTTACATTCGAGCTTTGTGGATATATGATCTGTGGACGGCCCACGCGCCACTTGGGCCACGCCATGCTACGCGACGATTACTCACTAACGACCACCGCCTGTCTACTAATGCACTCCTAATACACTAAAAGTAATAAACATCTGTAAGAAAACACATCGCAATTCGATTTACGACAAACACCTACGTCTATCGGGAACATTTCGTTTCGTATTTGCGCGTTGATAATACAGAACACAAATCACTCATGAATATTTTATTGCTGTTTAATTATTATTTATATAGATAAGACACAGAGTTACCAATAAACAGAGAAACGATATGCTAATATGATCCAAAAAAAAGAGCGGATAAAAACCTCGGTCGTTCGTGGCAACAGTGAAGGCTAATATGAATATATATTGAGCGAGGCAATAAGCTCGGAGCTTAGGTAAAGCTGAAATCGCCGATTAATCGATGCTATCCCGCGATTATTCGATTATTCACGCCCAGCAAATAAATTTCCGTCGTCGATGACGTATTGTGCGTTGATATCTTAATCGAAATCTGTACAACCATTACGGCACAGTTAGCCGTGGACGTGATTAATGAGAGTTTATCGTTTTGTTGCAGACACAAAGAACAGCATAGGTCTCGCGGGGTGCATAGAAGAGGTCGCACACAACGCCATCGCCGTCTATTGGAACCCGCTGGAAAGCGCTGCGAAGGTAAATTGCAATATACTTTTAACGGTTTAAAACGTGATATATAATGTTTCATTTAAATAAACTATATAGACCTAAGTTAAAATTAGGAATATACTCGTAGTTAATTTAATTAGTATTATTAATTATTTCTCATGTACAGTTTCGTAATTATAAATAAAAATTAGTAACCACATTAATTGTTGAGAGTGAAAAAGCCGATTTATCTAAGAGGATACCGGTATTGCCTACTGGGAGCTGCAAGTTTTGCTCAGGGCATACCTGTCTCAAACCGTAACTTCGCAATGCGTTTTTCATCCGTAGTAAACAAAATAAAACGCATTATAAATGCAAAAATATGTGCATGCTTAGTCCATACGCGCATAAAGTTATGCATCGCGTTTGTACTTTAGCTTCATCGAAAGTCAAGCCACGTTTTTAATTACAAAATTGAAGGATAATTAAATAAAATCCTGAAACCATATAGGGGTCGACGGCGAAGCAGCAAAAAGTGCAGCAATAGAGGCGACTCGTACTCTACTGTAATTTTAATTGCAAAAAATAAAAAATTAAATGCTCATGGACGTTTTATGGTTATTATCTTAATTTTTGCATTATACGATTTGAGTCGAATATTTTTTTGTTTAATGTCTCCAATTTGGTCGCCGGCAAAATAAAAAGTCATATAACACGATGCTGCACTGAGTAAGCAATTTGGTCGGGGGTTCAAAATGACTCACTGATTAATTGTGTCTAGCTCAATCTCCGTATGGAGATAAGATTTTAGAAGTACTAATTGGAGTGAAATGGCCCGCCTCCCAGGGAAACATAAAATTGTTTAGGTCAGGCAGGGCACAGAAGTCTGAAACACTGGCCCCTTTAAAAGAACGGATCAGTGAAACGGACACAGAAATGTGTTCACCCCATGCCCCATGAGGGGGGAACGGGCTTACACTTTTTATTTTAATTAGAGTGAAATACTGAAAATGGAATTTTAAAAAAATAACGTAATCATGGTTCAATGACAGATACATCGAGCTAAAGAAGATATGAGTTTATTTTGAGCCGGCTAATTGTATCTTATTGGCAAAACATTATTACGAACTAAAATTGGCTCTAGGGGCAGCACGTTATTTAGCCACGAATAATCGGTTATCGATATCCATAATTATTTACGATTGCACGGCTAATGCCACAGCGGATGCGAGTAGTTTGCGACAGATAATATGTGTTCTGACAGTGATCGGTGGCAGCGGCGGCGTCCAGTAAAAACGCGAAGGGTCATTTGCATACAGCCTGGTAATGAGTGTGCGTTGCGCTCGCGCCGCCCGCAGCTCGCAGAAAAACCTAGCCCTATTACATACTTATATTGGATTTTTATCTCTTCGGTAGCCTTTATTTCGTTTCCACCATGTCAAAAATGTTTATAAAATCAATTTCAAATTTTTCTATTATATCTGGAAATTAACTAAATTTATTTCATATAAATTCCGTCTGGATCACGAACCACCGTCCACAGATCACAGTAATAGGTTTTTCGAATGTGCATCTTGTTTAGATGTTATGTAGCTGTAACATTTAACTTTACAATTGGTTAACCCCGGGTGTTTTTCTTTTTCTGACATTAAAAAAAAACTTTTTCATATCCAGCAAACGAAATGACGATTGTCATTAATAACAAAGCTTTGCTCGTTTCTCGCGCTGTCGTCTTAGCCTTGTACGGAGTTGGGCCGTTGAGAGGTATTTACGTATCTAAATTAACATAACTTTGTTTTTCTTTCAGATAAATATAGCGGTGCAATGCTTGAGTACGGACTTCAGTAGTCAGAAAGGTGTAAAGGTAAATAAATACTCATTTTACTATTATGGACATCGATTAATTAAGACCCAATTATGAATATTGTGTATCGATTCCCGAAGCAGTAATGCTTAACTGTTAGTCAATTATCGCAGACATATAACAGGTACACGCATAGTTTCTCTCCCCTCGGAGTCGTGGGAAATAATTGTGCATTGGCTAGTTTGTGAATGTAATTAAATTGTTTTTATGCCGCAAAATTTTAATTAAGCTTAACACATTGAAGGCGCGACGCGACGTACGAGGTCGCTAACCGCGTTGTCGCCGGAGACGCCCCGATAAGCACAGCTACCGCGTACGTGTACATGTTATTTGTATATTTCATACACTTTACTGTATTTCTATTTTGACTGACTCGTGTCTAAGGTAGCCATGTATGTTTAATGATCCATGGATTTTCAACATGTTGCTAAACTCACATGTCAGTTTCAATGCGTAGTTTTCTTAATGTCAAAAGCCAAAATAGGTCGAAAAACATCTTAGTACGTAGATGTTAGTTAGTAGATGTTACACCTTACCCTAAGTGAACACCGCGTTTGTCTGTCACTCTCCTGTCCTGTCCTGTCATGAAAATAAACGTTATTGCAGTTAAAATTGAAATGATAATAATTTATTACAATGTGTAATAAATAAATATTGTTATATATATATATTGCTTTATTTTTAGTGTTTATGTGTTAAGTAATATTTTGGCTCCCTTCATCATCATCAGTGGCTGTACAGCCCCTTGTGGGCCCTAGCTTCCTCTAGTCGTTTTCGCCATTGCGATCTGTCTCGTGCTTCCTGCTTCCAGTTTTGGACGCCCAAGATTTCCAGGTCCTTAGCGACTCCATCCCACCAGCGGAACCTCGGTCTCCCGGGCTTTCGTTTACAACCTGATTGCGAGTTCAGCAAGGACCTTGGTACTCTTTCATCCGTCATTCTATGTACATGTCCCAGCCAAGATTAGGAGAGCTCGTTCGTCTCTTTTGCTTAGTGCCCAGGTTTCGGAGGCGTAATCGTCCTAACGTACAGGCCGCAACAAGGTTTTATACAAGATAAGCTCGGTGTTATTTTTGAGTAGTCGCGATCGAAAGTATTTACTGAGACCGAAGTAGCAACGGTTTGCTAGCATGATACGTCTGCCGATTTCTTTCTTGGGATCATTATCGCTTGTCACCATTGAACCCAGGTAAATAAACTCCTCACATCTCTCGAAGTACATTTTTGTTTGGCTCCCTTAGTATAATATTATCTTTATAACAGCGACGCACAGTAGCCCATTTTAGCGAGTAGTACAGGTTTAAATAAAACACTTCTAACCGTTAAAAGCCTCGAAGTAAAAAGTGTTATTATATTAAGCCTTTTCTAAAGGCCATAAATAGCAAATAGGCTAAAATAAGGTCCCGTAGCGATTGGTGACCTCGTACCGATGCAATTATAGCTTCTAATACGATTCGACACGTGCATATTTTCCTTATTCGTATTCACAACAATTATCCCTTGCTTATTAAAACGGTTCTCGTAAAAAGGTCGATAGCTCGATACAGACGTAGCCTAGCGTGAAATATCTTAAGCGATTTGCTTACAACGCACCAATCTAAGATGATTGATATAAACGGTCGGAGAAAGGCGTAGAGAATTGCGTGTAAACATTTAAAGATGTCGTTGAGAAAACTGTATTTTCATATTAATATAGATTTATAAAGAGATTCATATAAAAGTTACGAGAAAGAACAAATCATCGATTACAATGCATAAAAAATACAAAGTTTATTGACCTTAGGAAAATATATAATAAAAAAAATAGATTGGATAAATCGATATTACAAGCTGGATTTACACATTCACATTCCGAGCCGTTGCCAATTGAACTACGGTGTAACATATTTTTAATACGTGTATTTTCTACTTTGCAGGGCTTACCGCTGCACATTCAAATTGACACTTTCGAAGACCCTCGAGATACCCAAGTATATCACCGAGGCTACTGTCAAATCAAAGTGTTCTGTGATAAGGTATGAACAATGTTTTAATATCATGTGTTGAGTATTATTTTACAGGCTAGGTTGCTTGAAAACACTGCCTCGTTTTCGTATTCAGTTATTTTCCAAGCCATTTTTAACCAACTCTTTGTTAACTATTTCTTTATTGTTAATTAAAGGGAGCAGAAAGAAAAACAAGAGACGAGGAAAGACGAGCGGCGAAAAGAAAAATGTCCGCCACAAACAGAAAGAAACTCGACGAGATCTACCACCCGGTTACGGAACGCAGCGAGTTTTACTCGATGGCGGATCTGGCGAAACCTCCGGTCCTGTTCAGCCCGGCTGAGGATATAGACAAGCTCGCCGGAATGGACATCCAGGGATTTTACGGACACGACGAGGCGGCTTTGGCTGAAGCCCATCTCAAGGGAGCGTCTCCCTTCCTACTGCATGCGGCAAAACCACAGGCACCCGCGCTCAAGTTCCACAACCACTTCCCGCCGGACGCGCCTGCGTGAGTGGAACGCTTTGATACGATTTGATACTTTTGAGCAATTTTAGAAACTGCGTGAAATAATCACTAAACTTCTGTATACTTCACAGGTATCGATCCGACGTCGGCGGTTTGTCACCGTACAGTGACCGTAAAGACTCATTAGAACTGGAAGGAGTCCTGGGCAAGAGGGCGCGCACATCGACGCCGCCGCTCAGCGAGCGCGTGATGCTGTACGTGCGACAGGACACCGACGACGTGTACACGCCCCTGCACGTCGTCCCTCCCACCACCCAGGGTCTCCTCCACGCTGTAAGTGACTGTCCATAATCTGCGAATACTTGGTGCGTCACTTCGTACTCGGCGAGTCGAAATTACGCACCAAGGACGCCGTTGAAAGCGGCGAGCACGTGAATAACCTTGGTGATGTCAGCTAACCGTAGAACGCGAGGCAACGAGAGCCAGCTCTCTCGCCGACTCGTGTCGATGTTCGTTTATGGCGGAAGATGACTAGTTAAATGAACCTAAACGAAAATAATCGAGACGCTTCGTCCGCGCCGCGGGCGCCGGCCCCGACGGGCTGTCGCCCGTGACGCTGCGTAACCGATGTGGCGCTTCATAACCCGTCTAATACACACGACCATCATAACCGCATGTTGTAATTAACACCCGCGCTCGGCGGCTCCGCTCCGGACACTTCTGCGCCCCTCGCGCGACTCGCTCTCTGTCCTTGCAAAACCACTACACCGGTTACCGATCGAAGGATCCTTCGTCAGACGAGACGTCTCGGTTTACAGACACAGGCCCAATGTAATTTTTTTATTTCTGCTCATTTTCAGATTGAGAATAAGTACAAAATTTCAAGTTCGGCAATTAATAATCTTTATCGAAAGAACAAGAAAGGGTAAGTGGTTTTCATTGGCATCTCAAAGTTCTTTAAGACTCGGCCGCCTCGCGTTAATCAGTCTCGCTTGTGTCAAGGGCGCGCCACTAACTTCACATTGCTTATAAAAACCTGTAAACCCCAAGATTTTGACGACCAATTAATATTAATAATCAATTAATCACACTTATGAGAGTACCAGTTCGATTAATACAGTTAACTCTGGGCTTCAGCGGTGCAAGAACGTGTCATTCATACGTGCGTTTACTTCTAGGATTACGGCCAAAATTGACGATGAGATGTTGGCGTACTATTGTAACGAGGACTTGTTCCTGCTCGAGGTGCGGCCGGCGGGCCCCAGCGAGGACGAGCCCCTCTACGACATCACGTTTGTGGAGCTGCCCTTGGACCATTAAGCGTCGGACTTCTAAATTGTAGAGCAGAACGTGACGGGGACGATATCGTACATTTTACTCTATGATATCGACGTGTTGTCCTCGGGTTCGCCGCGAAATCGCTACGGATTGGCGAGCTCAGATTCGTAATTTTAACATTCCAAGTTTAAAACTCATTATTTATGAATAAGGTTTTCTCAAGAAGTCGTCGATCTCAGATTGAAATTTACTTTTAAGCGGTTCATCACCATAACACTCATCATAATGAACGAATGTCACAAATAACGGTTGCGAGTACCGGTCTCGACGGACGAGCCGCGTACGGCCTTGTATATAATACTTCTATTAGTGCCTTATTACTCATCATCGACGGTGATGGCTTCGTATCGAGAATGTCTTGAAGTAAGTTATTGAAATTTTTCAGAGAGAATTTAATTTTGTTGAGAAATTATAGTGAATCACCGCTGAGGTTTTAACGTGTGTGCCATTCGTCTGTTATCATTCTAGATTTACGTAGTTATCGTTTCAACAGGTACCTTTTTATCTTGCCATGATGATAAAGTAAGAAACTCTTGTCACAAAACATTTTTGTAGATATTCGTCTACACTTTGTAAAATGATTTAATCTTTGTCATTATTATATGTTTATCTCTATGTTAAGTGAGTTAAGTCAAATTAAATGCCATCCACTTTTTTAAGGTTAAGATAAGTTCGCTTTAAGCTCGCTCAATTCGTGCACTTAGGTAACGTATATGTTAGAATTAGTTTCGACCGCAAATTGTTTCCGCGTTTTAGGCGCTGTGACTAATACCCGTACGTTCGTTAACATTTTGTATTCATAAAATGGACATTTTATTGTGATTATTATTGTCACGTATCTAATTACAACGCTGCGAGGAGGTGATTTATTCGACGCGCGAAATACCTACGCAAAAATAAATTTAAAATTAAAAGGGAACTGATTAATAAAATAGTAAATGGAATCAATAAAACGAATTATAATTTTAAATGAGTCTCGGCCGCCATTTTGCATAACTTACAATGCTTAATATGTAGTCGTTTGTATGTAGTCACAAGACGTCCATCAGAACAGAATTATTAATAATTTCATCGGCGGGAGTGGTTTGTGTACAATTTACTTACTTAGGTGTATTATGCGTAATAGGTTATCGTTTACATAAATCGGGCCATGACAATGTTGCGAATAACGAGAATTCTGAGCTATTTTAACGTAAAAACAACGGATCGAACGGTTTCGTCGCAAAATTATGTATTAAGTGTTGTCCACCGATTATTCGAAATTCAGAACCAGGTTCTGTTTTCCTTGATTTCTTCGCATTGGTCGCAGACAAAGTCGCCCAAGATATTATTTTAAGCGAAGTGCCTAGTGCGGACGGTTCGACTAACTGCCATATTAAGACATAGTTTGTAGTACTTAATGATTTTAGATTAGAATATTATGCGCAGACGTTTACTGTCACAAGTTTGCAGGTGAAATTCGAATTATAATTAGGATTATCGTTTATTTTCGTAAGATTGTAATCGCGCTGCGGCAGCGCCGTGACTGTATCTTCCATTTCAGCTAATTTTATCTGAATCACTCGTTACGTCTAACCACGAAGTATGTCTATGTGTATCTCTGATTCTTATAAGTTGCATCGCATTGCTCAAAGTCTGCATTTACCTGACGCGGAGCGGACTCTAATATTGTTTTATAATTATTATTTTACCTACTTATACGTATTGTATTATTTATTTATGTACTTAATATATAAATTGTGCAGCTTTAATGTTTTAACTTACAATGATTTTAGATCGTGATTCTGAATCTCGTCATAAGTCACAAACGTCAGTAGCAATAAAGTACGCGGATCAGTTGTAGATTAGTAGATAGATAAATGGGCGTGTCCTCGGTGTAGCAGCCGTGCGCCTGCGCCGCGCGCTGTTCTTGTGCAATCATTATGTTTATTGGAGTATCTCATTTGAATTTGCTGTCGGATGAAGTTAGGCAAAATTTCGGTTATTTTATTGTGCATGGAGAAAATCAATTCGTCGTGTTATAATCATCCCTCGCCCGATTGTAACACTTCACGCACACAAAGATCTTTCATTATATCATCTGACAAGTTTAAGGCGTGTACATTGCGATGTTCTCAAACGTTTCTATTAAAACATTCCGTTTCTACTAATACATTCCGACGAGGAATTAAAGAAAGCTATTGCAAGTATTCAGACCTCATAAAACATTCCACGTAGCATTAAACTATTAACGATGGTTATAATATACTTTCGTTCCGTTTCCGTTACAATATAAGAGGCAATGGGGTGGGAAAAAGAAATGTACGAAGGTTGTAATTTTAATAAGGTTTTGTTTGCGAACATTGTTGCGCACGCGCATTGTACATATTGGCGCAAGCGAGCGCGGGGTGGCGCTGGCGTCGCGTCGCGGGCGCGCCGCCTCGTGGAGATAGTCACACTAGTTATACGTACCGAAAGTGGTAGCACATTTTCGTTATTGATTTTTAATGTACTTAAGTTTTAATTCGAAATAGATGTTACGTTATTCTTTCATATGAATATTTGTAAGTTGTCATAAAAATATTATTAATATAATTATTTTTATCAAAGTTTATGAACTAAATAAAAATGTTTTACTACAAAACAAAAATGTCGTTTCATTTACCTCGTTCGCTTTCGCGACATTGAAACGGTTTTGACAGATGTCAAAACTGTTACAGGCTCGGATTTGAATAAGACCCATTGCGTCCACAGATATTTTATTAAATAATCTCAACAATAATACATATACACGCACATATTTACATCGAAATTTTCATAGGAACACGAAAAGCTTGAGGCGAAAATTACGTATGTATAATATGACATCAGAACTATCTAGATGAAAACTTTAATTTAATTGAAACGGAAGAAGACTAAGCATAGAAACGAAGTAGGTGTAAAGAAGAAAAAGAGGAATAAGTTTATAGAATTAGTTCATACGAACGCTATCTAATAGGTTTGTACAAAACCATTTATTGTAGAACTGTACTTTGTATTTCGCAGGCACTTTGTTATTAAGGAAATATGTCGGAAATTACTTTTAACATTAGTTTCTTTAATTCCTAACCGGTTTAAACTCTCATTAAATGGTTTAAAATAAAGTTAAATCCGCTACCCAAAGTCAGCTAAACCAATAGTCTAATTATATTATGAAATAATATGTAAAAGATATAAATAATTATTGCTTATCACGAAATCATTCGCAATATTTAAAAGATAAGACACACAAAATTTCCTAATGTACCACTCTGTTACCTATAGCTTTTAATTATCACGACAAATACTATTTTAAAACTCTATTATACATAGTTACTTCATAACTCAATGACAAAAATACTTCGCTTTAAATAAAACAATTTTAACGGTTTAAAACCCAAAATATGTTAGTTCAATTTTGCTACGTGACCGTGGCTGTTAAAGAGCATCCGATACGTTGCATCGTTGTTAAAAAATGTTGATCAAAATATATATTTCGAGTTTTAAACCGTTCAAAATGTTACTACTGGCGTAAACTACAGACAAGACTTAACAGCAAAAGTAAGACGTTTTATCGTCACAAAATCATACTTACATTTTTGTCCTGTATTATAATCTGCCGACTAGTAAGCGGATTGCGGTAACCAGCCATTAGTTAAATATTTTAAGGTTCCTGTCCACCACACCCTAATGACTAATGAGAATTTTCAAGCTAATATATATTTTACAGTCGAAATATTGTATAAGTGTTGGATCGGTCTTCATGAGTACGTAAGCCGGTATACTGCAAGCTGTCGATACAGACAAATAAAAACATGGCTAAATATAGAAATAAACGACTAATAAATTTAACGTTTAAATCCGTTAAACGTTCCACTTCGTAGTCCACAAGCACTGCTAACAATGGCTAACTAGGTTGAGCGCTCTACATAGATAGCTACGCTACAGTAGTTGTCTTTTGAATTACGTGATCATTAACTACCCTCAAAACTGGTTATTTATTTTCTACCCCTTTTTATTACGAACAATATTATTCTTTATTTTTCGTTATATTGGTATCAATGTTCGGCTGATAATCACCGGGATACGTCCGCCCACGGGGTCCAACGTCTTTCTAAATAACTTTAATAATTTTAATATTTAGATATTAATTGAATGGTAGGAATTTTGATAATTTTAAGTAATTAAGTTTAATAGCGTTTCGGTTTCAGTCTGTAGATATCCGAATATCCAAAGCTAAAATAGGTCGACAGCATATCCGGGGTGTTTCACCTTCCATCAAGTGGCCCCATGCTTGCCTGTCCTCAATTATGAAAAAATACAAGTACGTCACGATGCAGTGGACAGAAGCCGTCAAGCGAAGCACGAGCTTGCCTCTAGAGATTTATATTTGTATCTTGAACCGTTCCCCGTCGGAGCAGTTCGTAAGTGATGGCTATTGAATCAAAGGAGAGCTCTGGTTGTCGCTGAAGTCAAGGGTGTAGTACATGTCTGTGTCGAAAGAAGTGGGGGGTTGGAACGGGACAGGGTTCGGTTCCCGTTTGTCCTGAAGCCAGTGGTGGGGTGGCCCAGCTTCCGAGACACGCGCCGAGAGCCCGGATAAGAGGCGAGAATACGTTTTGTTCACGCGGCAGTGGCAAGCTGTAACCTGCAAAGTGCAAAGGGACCAGTGGGGTCACAAGATAAGAATACTGAATTAATAAAAAGAAATATTTTTAAACTTTTAATACTCTTCAGATGTTGTTGCTTATGTGACTTACAAATCGATTATGACTTACAAAATTTTCACGCTTTATTTTCGATTTTTAAATTGTATAGTACCTTCGTGAGCAATGCGGCGGACTCGAACCTACAATTGCAAGTCCTAAATTTGATTTTTTATTTGTTTGAAAAGTCATGTAAAAATCTTTAAGGATTCCTATGAACTAAATACATAACGTTATAAATCACATTTATTTCAATTTAATAATATTGTAAATTTAGTTAAAATTAACGTTGACTGGCTTCGTGTAGTGCAATGGTAGCAATGTGCGGCTAACAATCTACCGTTCATGAATTCACCGAGCATTTTTCTAATCGATTTATAATTTTTCTGAAACATATTGGACTTTATCTTAAAATCTAGATTAGAATGGGTGACAAAATACTGCCTGGTTCACGAACCCCCATCCAAAGATAAAAAACTATCAAGTTTAATAAACTCTGGATCCCAACAAGGCAAACGCGAAGACATCGTTAGTCAATTCTGTAAGGACCCGGCCAGTTTCGCCAAATACCAACTTCGACGGAACAGATGGCGCTAGCGTAGCAATTATTTACTTTGACGTCAGAGACATCCTCCATCTTTATTCTCCCCGTGACCACGGCTGCTGCAAAGCATCCGAAACGTCGGGCCGAAATTAAAAACCATTTTCAAATAAGTTTAACTAATATATCGCGTTTTAAACCGTTAAAGTGTTTTATTTAAAAGTTTAACCACGTTTCAGTTTTAGTCTGTGGATTTAAGAATATCCAAAGCGAAAAAGCTGACAGCGCCTTGTTATGTTACGTGGCTGGGAGTGTTTCACCTACCAACAAATACAACTCTATCATAAAAAATATTTAAGATTCCTACTACTTTTGTAATTTCGTATTGTCAACAATTATGTATAGCTGGAAATTCTAGTTGCTGTGATCGGTACCTAACTGAAAACTGCTTACCACAACGCCAACAATTGCTATTGCTGCACCAAGAGTACCAGCGGCTATGTACACATTGTGGAGACGGTCATGATAGAGACCAAGGGGCAGCCGCATCACCCGAACTGAACCGCCTCCTCGAGTTTCCGAGTCCACTTCACCTTCGTCGATCACTGGTTCCAATATGAAGTCCTCTGGAATAAGAAATATATTGAATAAGTAAGTATGTTTTACCAAGAAAAAAAGCAATGCTTGAAGTTGGCCTACATGGTAATATTGACATCTAAATCAATTACTGTCTGTCTGTACAAATTTGAATAAAACACCTTAACGGTTTAAAACGCGACCCGTGGCTGTTGCAAAGCTCCGAAACCTCGTCGTCGGGTAATATATATCGCGTTTTAAACCGTTTAAGTGTTTGATTTAAATCTCAATCAATGTCAATGTTTTACGGAGGCCTAGTTGTGCAGACGATATCGTTCGCCTGTAATAGTTATTTTGGGCGTATAATTTTTTTTTGCAAAAACTCCTTAACTTTTAAATTATAGCTGTTTCCCGTAGACGGCGTAACGACGTCATCCGCGTCCCGTCGTTCTTGCAAGTTAATCTTAAAAGATGGCCATATATTAATCGCGAACATTTTTTTGACCATCTAAAGAGTAATTATTCTTTCATACATATTTTTTGGTTTCTTGAACCGTTTTTGCAGTGCACAAAGAAGCCTTAAAGATGAATAGTTTTACCCGTTTTTTTTTCACATTTTCTTCGCTGCTATTCAACAAACTCTTCAGCTTTATTGTATGAGGAGAAATTATCCTTCAAATGAACGCACATTATCGTTTCTGTTTTGTGTAAAATAGACTAAGAGATTTATTTCAAATTCCTATCCTTAGGGTAGTGATAACCTACCTTCACAAAGCCGTCCCGTATATCCTGGTCTACACGAGCAATAGAATGAATCCACACCACTCCAGCACGTACCGCCATGCGCACAAGGGTTATTATCGCAAATCTGTAAAGAAACAAAAATTTTAAAGTTAAAAAAATACCCCAGCGATATAACAACTGAACAAATATGCTGTCGACCTTATTTGGCTTTGGATATTCGAAATCCACAGACTGAAACCGTAACGTGAACTTCGCGGTTTCTTCATGAAGGATGGTGAATTACTACTACTCGGAGAGAATTTTAATTTGCATTTAATATCCCACTTTCTAGTCTAATTCGAAATATTTTGGACCCTGTGGAGTTCGACTTACGGCTCCTTGATTATTAGCTATACATTGCTACCAATAGCCCAACGAGGCAGTTAAAGTTTAATATGAGACTGCTAGAGGCAGAGTGGCCTAATAATAAAAAACATGGGTTTAAATAAGAAAGAAAATGAAAATGAGCAATTAACTTAGACGAAAAATATTTTTTACTAATATTTGTGTAAGAATTATGTTAACAATTTTCGGCCACTGTGCTCTTGTAGTGTAACACTTTTAGACTATAAAAAAATAAATAACTCAGTCATAAAATTGCAGTTAGGCTACTCTGCCTCAGCAGCCTCACATTATGTTTAGTAATATACATATTATATAAATACAAACATCTTTTATATAACTATAAATTCGTGTACAAGTGAGTTAGTAAAAAAGTTTGCTTGCTTCGGGTTATACTTAATTTTTATAATCTTACCGAAGTAGCTGGAATATGGCACTCTTCGCCGACGAAACCTCGAGGGCATTCACAAGAATAGCTGTTGCCGTGGTCCACGCAATACCGGTGCTCGTTGCAAGGGTCTGGTAAGCATAGGTCCACCTACGAGAGATACAATAAAGTAACCAACAGGATCCAGGTATAAAAGCTATATTTACAACATAAAATAAATAAGATTAAGTACAAAAAAGTCCTTGAATAACAATAAAGATAAAGATAAACCAGCCTTAACTGAGATAAATGTAATATTTATATTTTTATCATACTTAGTTGTTACATCAACGACACTTTAAAAGATTTTAAAGTAATAGTATTGTTTGAAATACTGTCTATAGTTAATGCGAGTAAAAAACTTTTAAATAAAATGTTTTTGATGTTTCGTTGGTTACTGTGGTGAAGGGGGGGGTTTCCCCCCCCCCCCCGCCCCCCCCCCCCTTCCCCCCCCGGGGGTTTTTTTCTTTTTTTCCCCTTTTCTTTTTTTTTCTTTTTTTTTTTTTTTTTTTTTTGTGTTTTTTTTTCGAGAAAACTTTAAGTATTTTTTTAAAAACGTGAAATATATTACCTAACTCATTTTTATATTTACATATTTAAGACCATCCGAAATGAGGGCCGTAGTTAAAATAAATAAAAAGTAAGTTAAATAAAATATTTCGTGTTTCAAACGTGCTAAAAATGTTTTATTCGAATAAATGGATACATTCCAAAAGGTACACGGAAATAAATAAATTAAAAAACATTTGTGTATTATAAAAGCAGATGGTAAACGATAACGAACATTTTATATCATTGCTTTTCGGGCTGTTCGGCCGACGTGGGCGAGAAGAATTAGTTTTTCGAGCAATCGAGGAGTTAACATCTCCTGATAATGCCGTCCACACGTGATGGCGAAGCGTCGGAACCTCTTCTCGCTCATGTCGGCCGAACAGCCCGAAGAACAGTGATATGTTAAACGATGGCCGTGAAAGCCTTACTTGTGTAACGAATATTTTGTTGGTTTCAGCATCTATTTTAAGCGAAAGAAAGAATATACTCACAAAGCAGTTTAAACGAGTCGGTCTATTACTCGTGTAAGTAGGTCTGCTAAAATCTGAGCGTTTATTGTACTTAATTGGTCATAAATCTTGGATTTCCGTTGTAAAGTACTAATTTTATTGGACAATAAAATTGGTATGTACATGTTAATTGCTATTTATTTGTTGAATTCCCAGTTATTCAAATTCAATGAAACGTGTTTACATTCATTTTATATGTCCCTTATGTAGCTCAATCATATGTATAAAGTAGGTATGATCGGTTTCAAAAAAGAATGGAGAATTACAAGAGCAAAATACCCTTTCTAGTCTTGTCTATATATATAAGACATCCCATAAAAGGGTACTTATACGATTGCTGAGAAAAAAACAAAACCATCCGTTTTAACACTGTAAGACAATTCTTTCTACCCAAATAACTTAAGTTGTCTCAATTCTTCTAGTAGCTTTAGCCGCGGAATTCAAGACATTCTATTCTTAAATTAAAATGTGTAAATTGAAAAAGAAACTGCTTACACGAGCGCGACTTGAATCGGCATCTATGGCGTTTCGTGATGCAGCTTGAACTACCAACTGAGATACGGTATCTCAGTGGTAGTTCAAGTGGAAGCTTAATTTTTTCAATTTTATTTCTATATAACGCGATGAGGTGCAATAAATGTAAAAAATATAGATTATAAACAATATGTGGGGCCGCTAGAGGCAGAGTAGCCTAACTGCAATTTTAGGACTTATTTACATTTTCATAGTCTTAAAATGTTAATCTATATAGTAGTAATCAGTGACCGAAAATTGTTAACATAATCTTACACAAATAATAGTACAAATTCTCCGCCTAATTAATTTTCCTCCGTATTGAAAATAATGTTTTTTGTTATTAGGTCACTCTCCCTCTATCAGCCTCACAGTCTCAATCCAGTTTAAATTGTAAAATAGAGAAATAAATATACCTTAAACTGGCAAGTGTTTCCGTTGTAGCCACGTCCACAAGCACAAATGAATCCTCCCACCTGGTCCGTGCAAGTACCTCCATTAGCACACGGAGACGATTCGCATTCGTTATACTCCTCTTCACAACGGTCTCCCGTGTAACCTAGTTCAAGGAAAGTCATTGTCAACTGTGATTACCTCCTTACCTTTTTTAATAATAGAGTGAAAACTATCAATTGTTTCGATTGAACATGGCACATAATAAATCAAAATTGAAAAAAAAATGCGCCCCAACCCCCACAGACTGTTTACAAGAAAAATAATACAGATAATAAAAAAAGAAAGGTATGGAACATAACTTTGAAAAGCCACACACTTAAATGGCGTACGTTATTTGAGGCGGCGGGTGAAAAGAAAATGAATATGCAGAAGGAATAAACGAAAAGTCAACAAACATGAGCGGATTGTCGCATCACGCTCGTCAAAGGCATTGTCATAGAAACTAATAAGCTCCCTTTAATCCTGGCATCAATACGAGTTCCACATGGCATGATGCCAAAGCACAGTGAGACTTTCACGCTGCTTTCCACTATCGATTTGGGTCGGGATACTTAATACACACACAAAGTTCGCGAGTTCAAAACAATATAACTGAGAAAATAGTGTCCATTCCTAAGCTACTTTCTACTGGATCGTTAATGTAATGTAAGTAGCAAAATGGCTACAGCATGTCGCAGGTTTGATTCCCACCAGGACTAAGTGGGTGATACAATGTCGTAATTCCGTCTAGGTTACGAACCATAGACTAAATCCTAAGGCGTAAAATGTGAAACCGCGTTTTTATTTTAGTTTGTGGAGTTCCGTGTCTGAAACTATCAACATAGTCGGCCTTTTTTGTGTTATTTGGCTGGTATTTTAAGTCTTTATCAAGTGAATCCTATAACCAACCCTTCGTGTCTGTTTCGGCACGGGTTTTCAAAACGATGGAGTCATAGTGAAATTAAAAAAAAAATGTTTATTGGTCCCAAAAAAAATGATTAAACTATAACTCTTAATATCACATTTTTGGGACTAAAATTCTAGTGGAACGCTAAAAGAAACTCCCCTTAAACCCCCCCCCACCCCCGTAAGGTACAACCCTGTTTTTCTTCTTGTTTAACGACAACTAAAAATACATTACATACTGTATTATGATGTGATACAGTCTTTGTCAGTAGAATTACACTTCTTAAGGATTTTAAGTGAAACTTAAACGCAACTTCGAAGACTACTCGTTTTATTCTAGGAATTTCAGTATTTATAAAGTACTTTTCGAGGCACGTAAAGAAAATTATAATATAATGATTGGTAATTGAAAAATAAGATCTTAATTTTTAACATACTTTATAGAAATCGCCAAAACAGTATTAATACGGAACAACATAACACAAACATAAGATTTGTACGCACACATATAGTAATAAATATAACATAATACTCGTTTAATAGTAATTGGAAACAAAACAACTAAATGTAATATAAAGGTCTCTTTCAAATGAAAGGGGAGATCCAGAAAATCATAATAAAAAAGTACTCTTCGAAATAAATTCAGGTACATATAAACGAAGTTTGAGGAACAACTTTCTGGATGTTCAAATCTTTAAACTATTATAAATAATGTCAATTAAACTTAACTCCAGCTTAGTAGCAGACTCTATTGAAAATATTGTAACAAAGTAAAAAAGTAATAGTAAGAAAATGATTATATAATAACCACCCACGTGGTAACGTCGAGCGCGTTGATGTCTTTTTACGCGCGGTAATTGCACTCCAGCGCATAGTTGATAACCCCAATTATCTATTATAATTATCTTTTTATTTGTAATGCCTATTATATTTACCATTTTAAGCATACTTTAAATTAAATGTCTGAGATTCGATTGGAGATTTCTGGTCTGGTTTATATTATGACGCATTTAAGTTGTGTCTGTTCTAAAACAAAATTGGATGACGTTTTTTTTTGTTAATTTGGCCCCAATTCAAATATCACAATCGGACGGGACTTGAACCCACATCTTCACTCTTACCGCTTGAGTTACCGTATCGTGTGTATAAAGTTTAAAAAAAGGATTACCCCCCATACAAGGTTATAAGTTTTAGAGTTGTAGAGTAGACTGGAAATTTTATTTTTTCTAATTGCACATATTGAGATATTTATATATTGAACTTGTAAAAACTATAATCTTACCAGGCTCACAGAAGCATCGATATTTGGGACCATCGTCATCATCTGTTTGCTCCACGCAAATGCCCTTAACACAAGGCTTGTCTGCGCAAGCGCCGCCGGTAGCTGGTGACTCGCAGTGAGTCCCCGTCCAATTCTCCGTGCAAGCGCAGTGGAAGGTAGTCGACCCGTTCATAGCCATACTCATACAGGAACCTCCGTTCAAGCAAGGAGAAGAGAAACATGGATCCTTTTCACACTTCCGTCCAGTGAACCCTGCCATATTAATTGTCTGTTCAAGTACTAATTAATCGAGAAATAACGACTGTTTTTAGATAAAACTGGCGTCGAAGTGGATCGTCGTCAACTTATGTAACAAAAAAAGTTCATAATATTTTTTATTTAAAAAATATATTATTTGCCGCATATACCTGATTATTTGAAACATTGTTCATAATTAATTTGATCAACTAAACTTTCATAGTTCTTCTTTAAATATGCCCTTTTATATTACAGAACATTTCTAACACACGAACGAAGCTTTAGCAAAAGTGATCATTTATTTTATTTCTCAAGCGATGTTGGTCGAACGGTCTCGGCTATAAATCTCCTAAAAAGATTGTGAGGCTAATTAATCTTGAATTGGTTCTATCCTGGGCCCGAACTCATTAATACCAGCTAATCAGGATAAATGTCAAATGTTAACGGTGTAAGCGCTTTATTTAGATCGAATCTATACGTTTATTTATTGTTCTATTTACAAAATATATATTCAAATTAGTAATACTATAGCGAATAATAGTTAAGAACAAAAGGTTCATTTCATCCCGGGATGACGACATGGTTCCGGTCGGACAGAAGAATGTGATCAACTACTGGCTTGCAAATAAAATCCATCACTGAAACGGACATATAAATATGTTTGCCCCGTGCCCCAGACGGAGAAACGATATTTCACTTGTTTTATTCCTTACACAAAGTCTGTGTAAGCCTCGCCGTCTATTGAACGCAAATTTCTAGATATTGAAAATGCCTTTTCTGTTAACATCAAAAAATCCGTTCGGTCTTACTTTACGAATTATTTCAAGAACCAATTCAATTCATTAACAAGCCTTTTCTTTACCGATATGAACTATGTATCTGATATATCATAAGTTTAAAGTTATATTGTCCACAGCTAGAAAACCTTTCCCATATCTCATTTCAATAAAATGCCGTCTACTAAGCACGGGAGCGCCGACGAAAGCAGAAATTGAAAATGTTTGTCCGCATTCAATCCGCCTGAACCTTTTCCGGGCGCCGCAAAGCGGGCTCGAGCGTTACGCAACGCCGCGGCTCTCGAGCGATGTGACGTCATCGGAATTTAATTGACCGAAAAATGTAATTTATTTTCGTTACGAACCGTGCGTTATAAACGAAATTTATTGCTTATCCTACCTTCAGCTAATTTTGTAGCCCGCTCACAACAAAATACACGTGTTAAGGTGGTCGTGTGGCAAGTTATAAGGGTATATCGGTACGGTAACTTTAGAATATTGTAGACAATTGACAAATGAAAGCGACGTTTGTTTTCTTTGTTTCACTTCTAGGGAATCATCAAGAGGTTATGCATAAGACAGAAAATAGTAAAAATGTCGATACACACATGCATGATGATAGCATATGGGCTATGGCTAACGAGGTTCAATATTCTAAATACGTACCTCCTGTCTAGTGGTTAACTCCTGACTTATGTACACTATTATTGTGGCGTGTCATTTTGTATTGTAGTTGGGAAATAAAGGGCGTCCATGAGAATAACCACATACTACCACGTAGTACACTCATTTTAGGAAAAATAATTACTCTTACAAACGCACTGGACTTACGGAAACTATTATCACAATAAATGGTAATCTCTCCATCAATTAATAACTTTATATTCTCAGTTAAGTGATAGTTAAGTAAATAAAAAAAACTGTGCACAGCTAAATCGCTCGGGTGGCACACAAAAGCGTTTGACAGCGCGCGTTGGCTTCGTTCGGTTGGGTTCGAAAAAACTAAACTACCCCCGAATTTCATTACCTTTTTTTCTAATCGTGGTATAGAACAAAATATTTCGTCTAAATCTAACAAATAATTATTTTCTGGCATGCCATAAAACTTTTACTAAATAAGAATGGTATAACTAAGACATAAACGACATGAACTATATTAAAATATCATATTAAAGCTCTAATTTATAACTATTTTAGAAACAAAAACATTGAGTTAAAGAACTACAGATAATAAATATCGTATATGCTACCATAGGGACAAAGGCAATGATAGTTAGCCCCGTTGAGTGGTTGCGTGAGGTCGACGCAGATGCCATTATTCAAGCAGGGTGATGGATTACACGCGTCCCTGTCCTCGCAGTGCGGCCCCATGTATCCTGGGCAACATTGGCACTCGTAACCTTCCTATAATAAGACAATCTCTCATTTTTCATGATAACCGAGTAAAATATTTTATAAACTGTTTAAGTGACGTTAACGTGTTTGAGGCTATTTTGCAACTTAGTATTTCTTCGTAGATGATGCCTTCACAACTTCATAGGTTAATTCACGCCAGGTGACTAGTCAACCTTGCTTGGGGTCGATTGGTCTACAGCCCAGTCTTGTAGATAACGTCTCTTGATGATTTTATGGCAAAATGAAAGAATCATTCCTTAATTACGATGAAAAAAGTTTCGTTTGTTAACTTCGGCTACCGATGGACTACATTCGCTAAAGTTTTTACGCTTTTTCATACTAAAGACGTATAGGCGTTGAATAGAGTTTAAAATATCTATATATGAAATATTGAAATTTAAAAGTACTTTCAAATTCCTCTTGAAGTATTTCGAGATAACAATACAGTACAATGGCTAAATCTAGTTCTTCGTTCCACGTTTAGAATATTGTGTTCTGTTCTGTGACCTTTTCTTGTGCTAAATTCTCTCAATCTCTTACCATAGATACATTTGTGTAGCACACTCCTTTCCCAGAACAATCCTGGGACTCGCCGCAGTTATCTGACTTGACGGTCACTTTCAAACGGACGCACTGTGACCCCCAATTCTCAGATACAACTGTAAAATGTTATTGTTATAAGGTATTATGACACGTACGGTACTGTTTATGGCACAGAGTGACATTTTCAGTAATACCATCAAAATATAATGTCGCTATGCGGTCGTTATAACGTAAAAGAATGTTTCGTGTCACGCATAAATGCTCTTTCCTGCTATTTAACGTCGAAATGTTCGTTTTTACTTTGTTTTACTACTCGAGAGCAAAAGTACACGAGTCACGCACATTTGAGGCTCATTCGGAACTAAAGTGTAAACAATAACATAGAATGAGAAAGTAAGTTGTATAAAAACATGAGACGTTCTTTGAATCGAATGTACTTATTATTTATTTATCGTAAATATTAACGATATCTTGAAGAGACAATTTTATTTTATTTTATTAATATGGCGAGAAACAATGTTATACACGAATAAAGCTTATAGCTTTTTATGCAGAATAGAAACAAGAAAGACTACGAGGTGGTAAGTGACAATTTTAATAAATTTCTATTCCAAAATGATGTAATAATAATTATGACGATTAGGTTAAACTGATAAGGCAAACGTATTGGTGAAGGTCGACTGAATTTAGAATCCAAATACCTATAAGCAAATTCACCCCCTCAGTCAAGTCTTTGTCGTAGAGAGTGAAAAGCTTCGCCGCCTGTTCGTCCAGTGGCGTGATGTCCAGCAACATTCCATCAGAGACATCGCAGTGCTCGTGACCCTGCCGCGTAACTTGGTACACGGCTGGCTGGAGCGCCTGATGTGTCCTGAAAAGCAAGCCTCCTGAAACCGAATGCTCAACGAAGCTGAAAGCGATGTAGGTCGATTCAAATATAAACTAACCTTTCGATGGCAGGTCGAGATGAGTTCGCGTCGATGGATTCGTTGCGGGTTTCAAAATGGCCGTGCTCGAGCAATAGAGAGTCGGAGATGCGCACGATAAGGATGTCCCCGCTTTGTATGTCGGCGGAGCCCTCCCAAGACACGATGACCTGAGGGCACTCCTCGTCCCCTCCATGCCCGCCCGCACACGCCTCCGTTAACCACAAAGTGACACATATTAATTAGAGCCTTACCGTCTTACACGATAAGTGCCTTCAAATAGCGCCTTCTGAGCACGATTTAGTTTTATGGCCGACTTAAAGAATAGATGGAATAGAATACCTCTTTTAAATAAGGCATAATTTTATATGAAAACATGACATGTTTCACAGTGTTTGACGGTTTAAAACGCGAAATGTATTAGTTAAACTTATTTACAATTTACTTTAACCATGACCCGACGTTTCGGATGCTATGCAGCAGCCGTTGTCATGGGAAGACGCCCGCGTTTCGCGTTTTGAACCGTCAAAAGTGTTTTATGTATTTGTATTCATTGTATTGAGTGCATAAAGCCTATAAAGTATTTTTAACCCATGCAGGGCGTGGGGCAGACATACTTCTACGCTGACTGAGACTATTATCTCCGGGAATCGAACTCAGACCTCTCCCGCAAAGCAATGAAAGCTTTCATTCTCCGTTAAGTATGTAATAATCAAACCACATCTTATCGAAAATAATGAGTAACGTAATACGGTCCCTTGGGCTCAGCTTTTAAAAAGAATAATATAGTAGAGAATATAACCACTGAAGCAAGGAACCTTTTCCCCTGTTTTCTCTAGCGAAAGACGATTTATTGCTTATGTATTTGACCTCGCTGTGCTCCATACTCTCGTCACGATCTACCTCCCCGACTAGAATATTCCTTTATGTTATTAAATAATAGATATGTGTACATCTTAGAAGATGTTCATATAGAATGCATTGCGGACGCAATTGCCTAAAAGCCACGGGTCCCTATGTTGCTTATGTTATTATACCTACATATCAAGCATTGGAATGTAAGTCATAAGTATGTGGTTAATATTTGCATCAAAATGCTATGAAATAATTAATTTCTAGATTTATAGCCTAACTGCAATTTTATGACTTGAGTTGTCCAATGTTAATCTACAAGAGTACAGTGACCGAAAATTGTGATCATTCTTACACAAAGAATAGTACAAATTAAATTTCGCCTAACTTTATTTTTCTGTTATTGAAAAAACGTGATTTTTTTAGTCTAGGAATAGTAAGGTAAGTAGTATATGTAAAAAAATCTCGAGATAAATGCGAAAAGTATAAGTTACTTACTGTTAACAACGACCGGACGTTTTGTTTTACTAGCAATGATGGAGGACTGCTATGGTGATATATTTCGCGTTTAAAACTGCTTAAAGTGATAATTTGTACTAGTTGCGAAAAAGAAATACTATGTAACCATGCTAATATGTTTGAAGCTTTATCGATTCAAGAATTAAGCAATCCGTCTTAAGAAAATAATGTCTGTACCACACACTATGTTTGTTTTATGCATGCAGTGCCTACTTTAGGATATGCAATAATATTATGTTATTTTATACTTTATGCGGCTGGCGTGTCTTTTTTCAATAAATATCAAGAAGTACTTCAATTGCCTTACCGTTATCGGTAAGTTCAGTTCGTGCGTCTCATTCCCCCTCCACAACCGCGACTCTCTCGGTAGCACCGGTAGATCACAATCTACCGCCCCAAAGCGAGTGGACGAATGCACTGTGCTCTCAAGCGCACTCGAAACACTGTTTAACTTTTGCCGTCTTGCACTTTTCAAACCCTTTGTGCCTGCGGACGCTCGAGCCGTTAAATTGCGAGCTCTCGGCCTCTCGGTAGCTTTTGTTGTCTTAACGCTCTCCTTTGTTACAGTAACGTCAGCCGGGCCCTCTGTTGACGTTAACTGCTCTACGTTACGTGTAATAGAGTACGTAGCTTCATTTAAAAGCGTAGTCTCCTCAGTTTTGGGCGCCAAGGTCGTTTCGCAAACGCAAACAGTTAGATACGTTATGATAAGCACAATAGCTGTCGGCGGCAAGGACGCGCCGCGCGAACTTCGCAAGTTTAGTCGAGTCATCGTTAATATATTTGGCACTGAGATTTCCTTTGAACACTTATTCCCTGTTAAAAAGTAAGTAATTATACTAAACGCACAAACAGTATATAAAATTAAAGGATTATCAAGGCTACGCTCACTTTGTACAATATAAAAGCGGCAAAGAGCTTTCTTTCGTTATAAATAACTCCAGTGCTCTCAGGTCCTTAAAGATAAGGAGCTCTTACGTGAAGTTTATAAAAGGTGACCCGAAAGCTCTCGTTATTTGAGTTGCGGGTTCGGCCACTTTTCAGAGAAAACTTGTATAATTGTATGAGCCTTCGATCTTTGTAAAAGACGACGTCGATATTTAAAAATTCATTTTAGATAACTTAAAAGGACAAAAGCTAAAAGTGTAATGCGTGCTTTTATTACATAATTGCCAAAGTACTAAAACGATTTACGAGTACGAATCACCTAGTTTACATCTAAAAGATATGCTTTTATTATAATAGTATATAATAGATACATTAAACTTAATTATCTAACTAAAACGTGCATATTTACGACAGTATATGCTAACTGAACAATATTGACATTACGAAACTTATGGAATCCTTCTAAATTGCGCTTACTTGCCGTCGCCGTCTTCGTACGTTCACGTGTTCGTATTCATGATACAGACGTATGTTCTTCATAAAAACAATAGGTTGAATGTTTTGGGTAGCGAAGTGCGCGGCACAGGGCGGGCGGCGTTAAGCTCCACAGCCTCCGCGGCACTGAGGGCGGCGCGCCCTCCCCGCTGACAACCTACCCGGTACTTGCGCACCCTACACTTCTGCACATCTGTATCTTCACTTAATTTTCTGCGTCCGTAATATCAATGATTTCCTTCGCCTTAAGTGGTCTGTGAGAGCTTTTATTAGCCTCGTTATTACGACGTTTGAATTGGAAATTATCGATTATACTTACGTACCAATATTCAACAGCATATGAAGAATATATTGTAAAATGTTTGTGTTGCTAATTTTATTTGTGTTTTTATCATTTGAAGCAAACAATAGCCAGAAATAATATAAAAAGTAACTTGAATGCTTGAATATTATATGATGATGGGTTAATACCATATTTATGTATTCGTTAAATTCCACTATTATCGTAAGCTTTGCTATTGAATATTTCAATGTTAATTCGTTTAGTGGGAGTAGGGCTGACGTAGAGGGATTGGTCTAAGTAATTTGGCTGGACGCCAATCTTTCAACTGGCACCTTTTATTTCCACATAGATTGGCCAATATTCGTTCGATATTGAAGTTTCGCTAGCTCGGAATATTTTTTGCGTTTGTGGTTTTTTTTCAATAAACCATATTGGGCATTCGATAAAAACGTAAAGTCAGTCGGTTTTTTATCGAATTTTATGAATACTTGACTAAAGAAATACACTTACGTTATAAAAGAACTTTTCTTTATCCTACTTGAATCATATATACTTTTAAAACACAAGTCGGTAATCATAGTATGTTTGATAAGTTATACAATGCGGTTGGTCTTCTAAAGCGTTTGTATCCAAGCGGTCTTGAAACCTTGGTACGTGGAAAAATGTGTCAGTATAACAATAAGAACGTTTCTCTGAATAGTGGACATCATATACCGTGACGTGTATTGTGTATACGAAAGGGAAACTCGAAGAAAACTGAATACATATTGAGGGTAGTCCCACATATTTTCTTGTGTACAAATGACGGTTTTCTTTCCGTCATATAGGGAATAAAATGTAGTCTTATTTTTAATGTCTCTCAATTTTAATACAACTCTTTAAGCGCAATGTTAGGGTTACTAAACAATCCTGGCCAAAAATTTTGAGACATCCCTATTAGCCATCATCAAAAGCAAACCAGATTGGCGTTAAAGATACAGTACACGATGATTCCAAGAATTTCTTTCGACCGACAACATGTACATACCATAGCACAGTAATAGGGGCATATATTCCCCTTTATGTCCCTCTTAATGGGTCCCTGGTCGAGCGTTCAGTCATGCCCTGTCATAAAGACGGTACGTTGGCCACATCACATACAATTATTATAATTATGCACTACATATTATACGGACAGTCAAAAACGACAAAAAATCTGAAAGCAGCAAAGCACATCAATCGGCTTTTATCGTCAATGTAATGTTTCCACAAAAAAAGGGATTATAACTAAAGATTGTTTATTCAATTGATATTACAACTGTATGGGATAATAAAATAGTTAAGTGAAGTAAAATTATATTATTCAAAAGGAATACTGATTTTGTGTATGATTATAAAATAATAAGTAATAATTACTGTATATCCGCTTTCGTTATGTTATTTACAGTAACAGCCTCGTTTTTGAGATAATCCTGAAACAAAAAAAAAACTATAGATGGTCTTAGTTTAAATAAACTAATTATTTGGCAAGTTAATTGTCAATAGATATTATATATGGATATTTGTCTTAATTTACTTGTCTTACTTGTCTCACTTGTCTTTATTGTCTCTTACTTGTCTTAATTTACAACCGAAAAATGATCACATCACGTATGTTTTATGAATTAACGAAAGAATCACATTCAGGACTTAGTTAGAGCATTTTTATGAATGTGTACATAACTGACTACAGTATATTAATAGTCAATAATTATGAGATCTGTTTTAGGATACTTAATATAAACATATTTTTTCAATTCGAACCACTAGTTCCTGAGATTAACATCAAACAAACAAGGTTTTTAGCTTAATTATTAGTATCAATACCTGTGATATTTGTTGCACCTGCGCATTATAATTGTTTGCAAAATGCACAGAAGTCTTTTCAGGATGCGCGCGCAGTCGATGGGAACGCAGCGTAGACGCATACGCGAACCGCTCGTCGCACCATTTGCACGACAGCGGCTTGTCTCCCGTGTGCATAGCCAAGTGCACCTGATGAAAAATTCAAAAATATAATTTAGTTTCAAAAAACAATATTTTAAAACTTTTAGATTTGTAGCCTTGCCCTGAATGATATTAATTGACCGGTCTGCGGCAATATTTTTTTTGTTGCGGCAAGAATTTTTATAATTCACCGGCCCGCTTGAAAAAAAGTTTGCCCGCCGCTGCTCTAGACTAACACGGCCATCAAAATCCCCTTCCATTTCCTCTTATGAGTACAGGATATTAAATTATTATATGCTATAAGTACGCTTAAACATAATACATTATAAATCCTTACCTGAACTTATATTCTTTTATTTTAAGTAAGTGATATTTGTCGTTTAAAGCCGTTAATTTTTTACTAATTTAATAATAATTTCGAAGGTAGTCTTACCTTTAAAGTCTGCCGCCGCTTGAAAGCCTTGTTGCAATAGTTACAGATGTGGCTACACTTCTCGTCGTGGACGAGAAGGTGCTTTCGTAGCGTTCGTCTGCTGTTCAGTACCCGGCTACAGACGAAACAGACATACGACGTCTCTTCGTGTGTGTCCATATGAGTCTTTAGGTTCGAATACGTCTTAAAACTGTCGGTAAAGAAGGGATTATTAAATAATATAGTATTCGCTATAATTTTATATTGATATTAAATAGGGATAAGAGTATCGGAAAAGGTAAGTTTAATCGCGTTTCGGTTTCAGTCTGAGGATTTCCAAATATCTAGCCAAAATAGGTCGGCGGTGCATCATAGTCATTAAATATCTTCCACGCTTTTAAACGTCAATAGTGCTTACTAAACTATAGATAATCCATGAGCCGATTATAAAAATTCTTTCGAGATTATAAAGCTACGATGCGATACAACGCTTACTGCTACTTACGCTTTAGAACACTTGCGGCAGGTGAACGGTTTGTCGTCGCTGTGTATGGCGCGGTGTTGCCGCAGCTCCCCGTTCGTGCCGCACGCGTACCCGCAGAGGTCGCACACGTAGCTCTTGATCTTGTCGTGCACCACCCGCTTGTGGGACGCCGCCGAAGATCGCGTCGTGAACCTTAACAGTAGTATATAGTAAAGAAGTAAAACGTTTCCCCTATGGGGCAAGGATCGAACCAGTTTGGGTGTTAGTTGAATTGATATGTTGATCACCCACTAGGTATGTGAAGCAGTACAAATATAATTCCATTCCAGTTTCCGAATGTGCCTTGTGCAATACAATTTTCCACATAGACAATAGAAATTCAAGCACAAGACAAAAAGCAAGGAGGTAATATATGTTTAAATAAAACACTTTAACGGTTACGGTGGTCACGGGGACACACGGCTGCTGCAAAGCATTTAAAATGTCGGGCCGAAGTTAAAAATAATTTTCAAATAAGTTTAACTAATATATCGCGTTTTAAACCGTTAAAGTGTTTTATTTAAATGTGTACTACTCGCGTAAACTATAGACAGTATCTAGGTTATATATGATTGAAGAAAGCCCCTATGACAAAGAAAGTCTACCTCAATACAACTTTAAACATGTTTTGTCTATGGAACTACACTGTCACTTCTGTAATCCCTTACTTCTCATTGCAGACTTCGCACTCGAAGACCTTCCTCTGCTCTATGGGTATATGAGATTTTTCGTGAGATTTGGCGAGGTCCCTCGTCGCGAACACTTTGTCGCACGACGAACACGAAAACGATCTTTCAGCTTTCGGCACGTGCCTCAACTTATGCTTTTTCAGCTCCTCAAATGTTTTCGCTGTTTTCGGACACTTCTCGCAGCTACAAAAATAACAAAGTTGTATTATAGTCACGTTAAATTCACCTGTTTTTAAAAGCGAGTATGGTTACTCCTGGACCCTGGTGTTAATTGTTATGCTGCATTGATATAGAAGAAAAACAAATGCCTAAACTTAAACAGATGTTAAAGAAATGACTCTATGGAAACTGAATTAGTGATATTGTTAAATTAAGACATAAAGAAACCTGTATTTATCTGAAATAATCTCAATAATCTTTTTTGTTTAAACCTATGAATGTCCAGCAGCGCCTCAGGGTCCTAGGATTTTGAAATCCTAGACTCCACCATGCTACTCCAATGCGAGTGAACGAACCTAAGCGACATGCGACATACGACTACGGCAAGTAATTATTAAGTAGAAGTATTCAGGAGCGGCATCCTACTTTAAAACTTTGGGCTGGTACTAATGTTGCCTGACCTGGGATTCCAACCCAGGGCCTTGTAATCTACTGTCTATTACAATAATCATTAGCCCAAGGAGGCAGTACTTATATTATTATATTAATAAACATACTGTAAAACATCGGGTGCCTTGTGGTCTTGGATGTGTTTGTACATAACAGTTTTGGAATTCAAAGAGATTCCACACGAGCAGCGCACGATTGGCGACGTTTTATGCTTCCACATAGTATGAGAATTCAGCTTATACCAACTAGAAAATTCTATGTCACACTCGTCACATTTAAATCTAAAAAGAAAAAATCTATAGTTATATGCTAATATACAGATATATTAGAAATTATTGTTGTACAACATCTGACTGCCGTACGAGGCAAAGCGATGTACGGCGCGGTCCTGTATTAAAATCCTGGGGGATAAACAATTTCGCTCGGCCAGGGCTTAGAACTACACTACTGGCCTAAAAATAAAATCGACCTGAGACAGACAATTAGGCCTGCCCTATGTCCGACCAACCTATAACCTGTAACACACAGGACATAAACAGTGGACAGTGGAAGCGTCGACTGCCGCCGAGTCATTCATGTGGATATTAGATGGTTGGAAGGAATATCGATTTTTTTACGGGTCACGAAATACCATCTCCGAACAGAAAAGCCATAATGTACGATACCGTTACGGTTACTGTTTGTGGATTTGAGAATGTCCAAAGCAAAAATTAAAATTGCGCATCTTGTTTAGATCTTTTATGGCTAAAGGATTTACCATCAAGTAAATTATTATTAAAATAACAATATGGAAAAAACAACTGAAAATTCTTTCATACTTGATTAAATCTGACACTTTGATCTTTGGACTAAATTCAGTATTTTTTAATATTTTCCGCCTCTCTGACTTGTGTCCGGCGACATGTTTGTAAACTGAGGACTCAGATGTCACAGCGACACCGCATATGCAAAATGCTATTGGCTTGCTCAAGTGTCGTTTCAAATAATGTACTCGCAGTGAACTCCATGATTTAAAAACTTTCGAACAAAATTCACACTGTAGCCTGAAATTTTAAAATATATTATTTAATTAGTTTTCCGTCATCAACATCTTATTTTTTAAAAACATGTCTAGTTTTACATAGATGGTTTTGAGCAGTTGCCAAGCTATGCCCCTGCTTATTTTCCCAGTTAAACGATTACCATCACCAAACAGGTCATAGCTGGTAAGTCAGTTGGTTTGGTCGTTGGGTTCTTTACTCATTACATTCTTGTAATGAGTAGAATCAAACCTACCAAGATATCCATAGAAATTAGAACAGTTTGAGCAGATTGGGAATGTGTCCCTGGGTTAGAAAATTAAATACCACACTTACTTAATAAAGTCCTTTAATTTAGCTTTAGGTTTATGGAGTAACCTTTCCAACTCTTCTCTATCCTCATCTGAGATTTCTTTTTGCTTTATACATCCAGGACTTCTCTTAGTCTTATTCTTTGATACATCTTTGTGTTTACCTTGTTTTAAAGATGCAAGGGTAATACCATCACTGCTATCACTGTCAGTTTTATCTGTATTGTCAAAATTCATTTCCATGTCTCCACCAGAAAATGATTCCATGTCAATTGAAGCTTTGCCAACAAGAATTAAATAATTTGTATACAAAATTAGTAATTATCAATATTAAAAATTATTTGCATAATATTATATATATTATAATATGAGTACAATTGTTTAACAGATGATGTAATTATTTGATAGTAATTTCTGTTCTTTGAATGTCAAGAAAATATGTATCTCAAGTTTTAATGACAATAGATGTGTTGTAGATAAAATGCAATACAGCACAGTAAAGTTATTTAAGATACTCAATCAACTTTTAAGGGATTTTATAGAAGTTTTAGACTGTACTATATACATCAAGTTAAGCAAACATATAATAACTATTCATACCTGCTAGGTCATCCATTTCATCTTTCACCTACAAAAGAAAATAGTTTTTTTTTATTGTAGAAATAGTAGAAAACATTTATTTAAAAGCTGCTAGTGAAAAAGTAAGTACTACTTGAAACAAACCTCTGCCTTTAGTTCCGGGATTCCATCATTCGAGTTACCATGATCAGTTTCATACTTTAATTGACACTTTTGACTTAGATCATTCAAATACATATCTTGGAAGTTTTCTTGCACCTTGTAGCACTCCAAAACAAATAATTGGAATGACACCATTTTCTCTTCACAGTCGAGACATATTTTTGTAGGAAGAGCATCATTTTCAGATATCTGAAATGTAATTAACAAGTCACCATGGTAAATATAGAGAGTACGAAAACCAAAAAGCTTTAAAATATTATAGAGAGTACATATACAAACACCCAGAAGTAATTTAATATTTCACATGTAATAGTGTAACTAATGACACTTACTGCTATTTGTAGAAGTTCGTGTATCATTTTTAAAATATTCTTATTGTTCTCGTCATTTAAATCCTTTAAAATATGTTCTTTCTTTGCACAAAGTCGACACAAATCTTTTATGTCTACCGCCATGATATCTGCATTAACCTAAGCTATATGTTAATTACATGCCTAAACTGAAAATTATAGTAATAATTAAGACTTTTTCTTTTTAAATACCAAGTTTATCCACATTTTCGATAAAACAAGTAATTCTTAAAAATATCTAACATTGCTCATATTTTGGTAGAATAGGTATGAATGACAGCTGACATTTCGAGTCACTTTATTTGGGTTTGTGTAAGTATAATGATATAATATACTATAAGTACGGTATGTGACATTTATTTTTTGAAGATGCAATTTACGAATAACACTAATAATCTCATTCCGTGATTGTTTTTTAATTTTTTTTTTTTTAATAATCGACAACGTTCCTAGTTATATCTATAGAATTAGTATATTTTGTGTTGTCTGTAGTACATTTTTGCTTTTCTGTATATCTGTGAACTTATTAAAAAAAATAATGGCTTCTGAAGTTTTCAACATTCCCAAAGTTTAACGTAAATAAAAAGCTTTTATAATAGTTTGAAAACAGACTGAAATTAATTTATGAGACATATAGTGGAGCATTTATTATCATTAAAGAAGTAGAAGTTTAAACGACGAAGTAGAAACCGAGGCTTGAAGTGCATCATGATTATCAGAGTCAACTAAAGTATCGTAGGACTCAAGCTTTTAATATAATTTAAAAATTGTCGTAGAAATGGATGTGCATTCAGAAATATCTGAACCTCTAACGCCTGGTCTGTCTTACGAAAATAGTAGCTACTGGAAAAATGAAGATAGCGGTTATCACACATCTTTTACGCCAGGTTCATTGGAATGTTCCGAAGTATCCAATGATAGTGTCAATGCTACATTAATAAAAGGTAGCATTTGCTTCAGTGTTCCTTATCAAGTGGAGTGCTATAAATTGAGCCCCGATGTCAAGTTAGTGCCTCAAAACAATTACAACTTTTCAACAAATTTTCGAAATAACGAATGCTTTAAAGATTCTCCAATTAGTCGGAGGGGTATCAAAAGGCCTTTTCAAGAAGACTGTGAAAATATTAATACCTCTTATTCATCAATTCCTACACCAACAACATTAATAGCCGGCGGATTAAGAAAATTAAAATTTCATGATGGAGGTAAAACAAAAGCAATAAAGGGTTCAGAATATACTGAAAGTCTACATGATACATTCTATAACATTAATGCCTTTCCTTCAACACCAATTAAGAAGAGCTGTAGAACAAGTTGTAAGTTAAACAGTCCTACCAGTTTGAAAAGACCAGCTAAAAAGCTTAATTTTGTTATGCACTCACTGTCCTGTGAAGGCAAAGGATTACAGGCAATACCTAAAGCTTCTAAGTCTAAGGCAGTAAAAAGTATTCAGTTCCGACCAGAACAGAAAATAGACATTATAGGGATGTTGTACAAAAATGCCAATGTGACACCACCCCTTATGAAAATCTTCAGTTACCTATCCAATGAAGATATCTTTAATTTCACCTTAGTAAGTCCACTCTGGACAAGAGTGTGGGAAGATGTTAGTAAATCTAGTAAGCAATTGGAATATAGTTTGTATTTAAGAAGATCAAAAGAAAATGCAGAGAATAAAGAGGTTGCACCAAAAATGTGTGGACAACATACATTAAAACCTCTTACAGAAATACACAATATAATTCCAAAAAAGCCAGGCAGCAGCCCTCCTGGTACACCGAGGACAATTAGGTTCAAGAAATTTGCTAAGGTACGTATTAAAAGGTTTTAAACCTACATTGATGGATATTAAATGCTTTATTCCAAATCACATAAAATCATTCTTTATAGGATGTAGCCATCTTATAAAAAAGGGTTTTCGTAAAACTCAGTGCAGTATTTTGAAGCTTCTTGTTCAATCACTTTTAAGACTAAACACAAGTTAGTAATTGGAATATTTATGCTTAAATATTTTACAGGCAGCCACATTGGACATCCGAAAGCAACTGTCCTGTGCAAGGTGCCATCAACCGGCCAAAGTGACAGAAGAACCTACTGGAGAAGAATGGGTGGAGTGTACAAGTGTAACATGCTCATATCAATACTGCAAGTTCTGTAGGTGTGAACGCCATCCTGGAAAGACGTGCTTTCAATATGACCTGGATGGCCCGAGTCCCTCTAAGAGAAAGAAAAACCCTTATGCAGTTGGTACAAAGAAAAGCAGGAAAAACCTCAGAAGACTTTTGTAGCTAACGGCTTAAGTTTAAACTGTACCAGTGATTTACAGGTAGTTTACACATTGCATTCCATATCCAAAGATTTAAGATTTTAAAAATCATTTTGATTAGATGATTTCTCTCAACAGAGTTATCAAAGGTCTGATGTAGTGCCATTTATAATTTTAGTTTGTTTTGTGGCATTTTATACCTCATTTCATTCTTATAAGGATTATTCTTGTAAGAAGTATTACACACAAACTGCATTTGATTTTAACATAGTCAAAATAAATAATAAATCAAGATTACACAATTAGCCCACATTTAAATAAAACCACGTTTAAAACGCGAAATATACTAGTTAACTTATATCTACGACGCGAATTACAGATGCACTGTAGTAGCGGTGCCCACGGCATAAGTGAACTTATATATTCTGCATTTTAAGCCATTAAATTTGTCTTATTTTTAATCTATATTCAAAAGATTTGCGTATTGAAAGTGCCTTACATGTACTGAAATGTGATAAAAGATTAACATTTTTCACAATTTGATTACAATGTGACAGACTGATAGATTTGCCATAAATGGTCTAGGTTTATATTTGTATATATTAATTTTAGAATGTTTTACTTTAGAATACTTTTAAGTTGTAGTATTAGAACCTTGCAAAAACACTTTGTAGTATTAACCAGTACCAGATTATTGAATGTGTGTGCGTGTGTGTGTTAACATAGATACATTAAAACAATATCCTGTGATATTACATCTAAAGCCTGTTAAGGGTTATTTTTGATAGTACAGGTATTAAACTAGACTTCTCTTACATTCCTCGCGTGACGAATGAGCTAGATAAAATCAATACACAAAGTAAATTGTTCAAAAATGTTTTTCTTCTACTTGAAACTGCTTTTTACGTTACTGTATTAGCCCTCATCCTTTTTGTGAGACTGTCTTATTGCCATTTTTTAATTGAACATACTCATTAGAATAAGATTTTGCTTTTACTAGTTTTAAACATCACTGTCAATTAGTTTTAATATGATGGTCTTGACTTGAGGACATGTGGGCATGGTGTGTTCTCTCTAGCGATGAGAGATTATTTTTAATGCAAGCTTTGATTGTCAATTTGATGATGCCTAGAAAGCTAACTATGCTTTATTTATCTGAAGTCCTAGACCCATGTTCAAAAATGAATACTCTTTTATTATTTTCTAGTCTATGTTACAAACTGAATCCATGACTTTAAACTCTAAGTTTCTGCCACTTTTTAATTGTACGTAATTATTATTGGTATCCCGTATCATCACATATATTTTTATCAAATATGTAAGTAATTTAAACTTATGCAAAAGTAACTTTCGTTTACAAAATACACTCAATTGCAGTTTATAATTGAACATTTTTTAAACTTACTCATTTTAAAGCTCGGTTTAAACCAATTATTTTTAAATGTGTTCGCTAAAAGAAATCGGTGTCGCTCTTACGATGTACCGTTAAGGAGTTCCCTTGCTCGAAATGAAACACGCGCTAAACGAAATAACACGTAACGGTTTTTAACTCCAGATTAAATATTCGTCGTTTAAAATCTGTTTTCAAATCGCAAATTACCGTAAAAAGTATGGGATAGTTATGTCATTAAAATTAAAGAGGGAATAGTTTTATACAGCCAGCTTTAAAGGTAGAACAGGTTTCGCGTTGTTACTTAGCCACGCTGTCACCAACTTGCTCGGAGGAATCCTTAATGTGTCTCATTATTTTAGCCATATTATATTTGCTGTTATACTATATATATTATTACGTAACATTCATTTTAACAATAATTTTGAACAAGGAACACCTCGACTAAATAAATTATTGAATCTCTACCAAGCCTATTTACGTACATTAAATTAATGTTTTAAGCCTTTTGTGTAATACCCGGCCATTCAATAATGTCATATGTGAGCTTGGTAGCGAGGCAACGTACGACTCTGACTTGAAATACCAAACAGTAAATATGTAATTTTAGACGACCAAACATGGATGCGTTAAGCTTTTAAGTTAATATAATATAGAAATATGTTTTATTTATTTGTAAATACAATTGACATTTCGTAACCGATAAAACTACTAGTTGGGGGAATTCTCAACAAGAAACATTATTTACGCAGATATGTCGCATATAACCAACGATCGTAATTACGAAAGCGACGTGAATTAGATAAACACTTTTTTGAGAATTGCCCTCGCTGTTCCGTGTTGAATTATCATACAGTTTTAATTAAGCTCGCGTGACACATTGTTTTAATTTGAGTATCTGAATATTTTTCCACATTCAAATGTTTTAATGATGTATGATTATTTTAATGTAATTAATGATTTTATGTGTTAATGTTTCAATTTCCGTGCGAAATGCTTAAGAAGCTCTCTTATCTTAATAAATGCTCCTAAATATATCTTGTTTCATTTGGTTTTACACAGACATTTATTTCCATATAGGTATTATGAGCAGTCTACTAAAGACTACTTGTTATTTGATCAGCAATCTGTTTAACAATTGAACTACTGCCGCATCTGAGAAACATCAAATAAAAAATAGACAAATAACAAATTGGAAAGTTTAATTACAACATTTACAGGCGATATTTACAAAATATACTTATAACTATTATCATTACGACTAAAAGTAACCACCGTTTGATTTTATGTAGATATATTAACGAAGGCGTAAATTCATTAAATGTCAACAAACAATAAAACTCTATCTTTCTCGAAGTTTGCAATAAATTAATAATTGAATTGTAAAAGGCTTTCGCGTTCTGTTCGTAGTTATTCGGCGAAAGGTCGAGAACCACCTCCGTATTACGACAGCCGAACGACCGAAAACCCAAGTAGATAAATAAATAAATGTCTCATAGATTTGTTACTAACTGCGGTGGCGACGACTTTCACAATATACGTTTAACCGAGCCCCATCACAAACTTTGGTATTTGATATGCTACTTGTGGTATCTGCATCAGCATTGACATCCTGGAAAAAAATATTAGAACTACATAAGTTCACCATCTTTATTTTTGAAGTAAACTTAGAGTTATATTTTTCGCCTTAAGGCTTTAAAATGAAAAGGCGTTAGTCGCTTAAAACTACTAAGCAATTTACAGACTAGCGAAGTACAGTCACTATTTAGTATTGTTCCAACACCTATGCTGTAACACCACCTCTTAAATTATGTACAATTAGAACCTTAATCAGTCACCAACCTTACAGTCTGCATTAAAAACCATCACCGCTAGACTTGCTCTACACTTGGTCTGTGAGATATAAAAAGTGAATTAGTGAGTTAATCAATACACCGCAGCCTTATTCCGAGACAAAACCTTACGAACCAGTTTTCCATTCACATCGAAGGATATAAAGCTGTGTGGATTACGTAATTATTTTTTGGCAAACCTGCCCTTTGGTACTTGAATATAATATATGGCGTCCGATTGTAAAATCATTAAGTATTTGAAAACTTTAAATTTACATGTTTATTGCACATAATGGCACCATATAAATTAAAAATCGATTATACATATATTGGCAAATATTGCGACACTGCCAAAATTGAACCGACATTCACAGCGTTTGGGCGCTAAAAGACACGGTACCTCAATTGGTTTCAGCGACAGCACGGAATGCTGTGAACGCCGGTCTAAGTCCTGCCCGTGTCGTAAATATTTCAATTTATACCTTATCTTTTAAAATTGATATCTGCACTCTGTGGCTAGTATAGATACTTATTATTGTGGCATGCAATTAGTGCGTCGGTGTATTTACAAGACTTACTCTAAGTGCGCAATATGTACAGGGCGATAGCTAGCAACACGATACAAGCGAATGGGTCGAGGTGCGCAACAACTCACGAGACGGACAGGCCGTTATAGAACCAGGCGCGCCAGGTCTGCGGGGTGGGCGAAGCGCCGTCGATTCGCGCTTCGATGTTGACGCACAGGGCGCGTCGGTCGTGAGAGCGGCCCGAGCGCGCGTCGCATATTAGTCTCTTGCGGCATTCTCCGTCGCAGGTGCCGCGGCGGGGACTGTTCTTCCAGTAATGCCTGGCAAGTATCATTATTACAAATTGAAATCGTTTATAAATTGAATAATATCATTATTACACGTAAGCACGACGTAGAAGAGGTCGGGGTCTGTTCGAGTTCTTACTTGAAGGAAATACTCCTGCCACATAACACCTCAACGAGATGCGCTAAAACCTTTTGAGATGTCATAGTCCGATATTAATTTTTATATAACCGATCTGGTGGTAATCGACCCCGCGACCTGATGATTGTTGGCCATACTATTGGTATTTGTAGCTCTACCTACATTCTACGTATGTCATATCATTAAACTCTACCTTTACTTTTTTCTTATATCACGAAAAATGCGAGGTTTTGAGGTTTTGGGTTTGAGTCCTGTGAAAACATTTGTTTTTAATCGGACATGAATTAATCTTAAGAGTAAAATAAATATCTTAAAAATGCTTACTTATGATATAAATTGAAGAGGTCTTCTTTCTCAGTCATATTGTCTATAAATCTGTCCCAGTCTTCAGGGCGCAGAGCCGACATCATATATGCTGAACGCGCTGAGTACAACTTATACCAAATCGGGTACCCGAACAGGTTCGCTTCTTTCAAATTCATGATCCACGTCTCATGGTCTACGACCAGCTGAAAGAATTATAAAAAAAAATTGTAAAATCAGAAACGTGTTGTGAGAAATTTGTTCGGCCACATATCACAATTATCTTGTATCTTTGCCTTTACAATTTGGAGGAAGGCTTCTACGAATCTCATACTATAAGTTATTAGTGAGTAGAATTTTTCATTGTAAATGTGATACTGTCTGTAGTTTACAACGTTTAAAACGCGATATATATTGTTGGCCATATATATTGTCAGGTCGTAGGTAAAAAAATCAAATTAAGTTTAACAAATGTGTATCGCGTTTTAATTAAATGTGATATGTGCTCTTGGGGTGATATAATCTGTAGGAGGTTAAAAACAACTAAATAAAATGAAAAAGTTACATACAGCCTATATACATATTCGGGCAGGAAGATAATAAAATGGCGACGGTTCACTCACCCTGGTAGTGGCGTCGTGGTCACCATCGACGTAGTATATTCGATATCCTAAATTCAAGTCATAATATGGTGACACGGACGGACCCACATATGCTATACTTGTAGCTCTACCTGCAAAGATAGCAATATATATGATCGAATCTCCTGGACGTCAATTACCATAAATGTGATCGATGATTAAAAATTTACAAGTACATACTTTTATCCGTAGTGTTTTACAAGTGTGAGATAACTTGCGACTTATTTCGTTGAAAATCATATGCCGGTTATAGGGAAAGTTCTCTGGTTATTTCAAAAGCTTCTCGGGTTTTCACTTATCATCAATCGAAAACACAAAAAGCCCAAGCTAATAAGTTAATAATTTTGGTCACATAGATTAAGCGATCTTACCTAAATCATTAGGATCGTAGAACACTTCAAACTCGTCGAAGTGCGTATGTCCGAAGAATTGGGCGGTGATAGTGGACTCGTATCTGTTAATAATGGCATAATAATTTCTACTCCACACCTTCAAGCAGTCCGAGTGTCCGGGGGGTATGTGCCCAATTATATGGACCTTCTCACCGCTGAATTCAGCCGATTGGAGCTCGTATATCAACCATTGCAGTTCTGTCGCTGGGTCTGTACTATTTAGAAGGAGCCACCTGTAAATTTAAAGTCCAAAATTATTGTTTTGACGGGCTGGTTGGTGTAATTGTACCACCGGGGATTCAAATTATATTTTTCTGTAACATGTAGGACATCGTCTGGAAATCTGGATATTCAATGGTATGGTATATCGGAATTACCGTTCGGGTCACGAATCACGACACAGATGAAAAAGCCGTGAAGTTTAATCGCGTTTCAGATTCAGTATTTAAATTTTCAATATCCAAAGCTAAAATAGGCCAACAGCACATCTTGTTCATATGCTATAGGCTGGGGGATTGCACCTACTATCAAGTGTACCGCATGCTTGTCTTATTTTTCCAGATATTCAAGTGAATGTCTATAAAAAAAATGTCGGTGAAAATTTAGAGAATAAAAAAGATATTGCTGTCGCTTACCAATTTTTGTTATTACAGTAGTTCATGTTGAGAGATATAATTCGAAAGCCGGGACGAACTAGCACGGAGTAAAAAGCACCTCGCCGCACTGTATGTGAGACACCGGCTGGTAGCCATCGTCGCCACTGGGCGTCTAACTCGTTGTACAACCAGGCTATGTTCGATTCTGGCGACGATATGTACGGTGGTGGAAAACTGGAAGTCAAATAAGTTTTTGCCTCATCTTTGAAAAACGAATTCGACGAAAACGTCGGGCCGTAGTTGATATAATTTTTAAATAAATTAAAAAAAATATATATTACGTTTTAAACCAATAAAGTGTTTTATTTAAATAGACTATACCTGTTAACTGGCGAGGATTCGTGATTGCCAAGAGCAGGAAAAATCGGGACTCCCGGAAACATATCAGACATTTGAGACACCGTCTCTTGGAGCACTTTTAGATTTTCCTCCTTAGTCTGGTTCCAGACGTCATGTGGGGGCAGATCTCCAGTCCATAGAATGTAGTCAATATCCTAAATGTAAAAAGAATATTGACAATAAAAATAAAATATGTTTATTGTCTCTCTCTTAATAATGATACATGTACACAGGTACATATGTATTTATTTTATTTTTTTTATAAAGAGTTTAAATTCTTTGTAGAGTTTACAACACACATCCCACTATACTTTATTAAGTCTGTCATAGAATTTAGATTTTTACTCAAAAGTTTCTAGCTAACCAGTTCGTGGTAGTGACCACCGGGGAGTGCCCAGGGGGTTCTGAAAACCGGCGCTGCTCTACTTTTAGCTGGTGTAGGAACTGCCGAGTACTTTCTCGCATTTCACAAGCACTCTTCTCTTTATTTTTAAAAAGAAGAATTCTTTATTGCATAATTAATAAAGCATATTTTATGTAGTATTTTGTTGTATTTTTTTTATGTTTTACACGTGTAGTCACAAGAACAGAATTGCTGAGCTATGACGCGCCATCAGCTGCCTCCACGTAACCTTTAAGGTTAATTAACGCACTGTGCACGACGTTCCGTATGAATACTTACGGTATGCGTATCTGCTATGTGCTTTAACATGTGGTCAATGGTGCGTTTCGGCGTATCACATTTCCGGTAGTCACCCCACCGACCTGCTCCGCCGCCGGGAGTCACCGCTGGTCCATTCGATGCTCTACAGCAGAGTGGCTCGTTGCATTCTGCGTTTGAGCCTAGGAAATATTGTTTGTTATTAAATTTTATATTGCGTAACATTTGAAATCTTTAATCTGTTTCAAATATTATTCAATTGATTATAAATAGAAAAAAATACGACACTGCGTTCCAGCAGAATACGGTAGCTCAATTGGTAGAACAACGGGACGGAACGCTGTGGAGGCCGGTTCAAACCCTGCCAGTGTCGTAATTTTTTTAAATTTATAATCGATTTTTAATTGCGTCACGTTTTAATATGTAACGGAATTATAGGTTTCCAGGTTTTTCTGAGCAATCTTTATATAATTGATATAAAGGAAGAGGTTTAAATAAAAAGTAACATACAATATTTTTTTTTTTTGCGCAATTTGAGGAAATATTTTTGTTTGTGTTGGCGTAAGTTCCTTAAAAAACAACTCTCTGCCTGTATGACGTCACAAAAATGTATCTCATAATATGGCGGTTACATAACTCACCTTCGGCATAATACGGATCGAAATGTGTATCAGATATCTGCAATACTTTGAAGGTCGGGGCTTTTTCAACTGGGGCCTCCAAGTCTTGCCTTGGCGGCTTAGGTACTGGTGGAAAAGCGACTTCCCACTCGTGATAGGGGTTGTAAACGTCGCCACACGCGTCACCAATAACGAAGCTACATATTTCATCAGGTCCATACGTAACTCTTTTTAGGACATAAATTACTTCACTCTGAAATATAAAAAAGAAGTAGTATAAACCAGAGGAATTTAGAATTTATGAAGAGCTATTAGAATGATCTTCACGGGTTTTAAAGCAGTACGGCTGTCGTAAGCAAAAAAGGTTAATAGATGAACCATCTTTTGATGACGTCGAAACATCGAGATCAATCCTTTTTAACGATAGCCATATAACATCTATACAAGATATGCTATGGACGGTGGTTCGAACCGGGGGATTCGATATTCCTCACACCCGTTTAATATCGATCAGAAAAATTAAACATTGAAAAATTTGTTACATGTTAGACCGACGATGCTTAGATTATTAGCTATACGTGCGTAACGTGCAAGACAAACGTGCGAATTCAAATACAGACATTTCGAAAGCGCAAGAAGGTTTGCAAAATGACGGTGTAGGCCTTCAATCTAGTATTAAAAGGAGTATTTACCCCGAACAGCCGAGTTATCCCGTCGCACACCCTCGCCGACTGTATGTTTAAGGAGACGCAGAATTTATAAATCATCTTGTTGATTTCTTCCTTACTCTTACCGAGCCGCATGTAGTGTTGCAATAATCCCGCGCCCGCCTTGCAAGCGGTGCACGACACTTTTGACATAACAGAGTGTTCTACTTCGTAATAAACTTGTTTTAAGTTGAGAAGTTTAAGCGCTTTATCGAAGAACAGCGGCAAATTACTGCTTTTGTCGCTGTCCCATAAAAGCCTGGAGTAGTTCCGTTTCAAGGCGGCCATGTGAGCTATCAGTTCCGTCTCATTGGCAGTTGGGGGTAGTTTGTGAGTGAAGTTCGAGGGGGAGAGTAACGCTTCGTCATTGTGCGGCTCTTCTGTCCAGTTCCAGGTGTCCATCGGTTGGCTCCATTTTATAACCGGTTCGATGTCTCGACCCGTTTGTAAAAATAACGGATTACCTGTCGATAAAAACTTAGCGGTTAGATATTTGTCGCAGAAGCGTCTAATACATGTTTGTTGACTTAGAATTTGTAATATTTTTTTAATTATACAAAGAAATATGTGTTTTACAATTACTTAGGCGATCGACAACTTGGTATGATATAATTATATCTAATTACAATAAATGATAATATAAGCTTAAAAATATGTTCTTTTCCTTATTCAATAGCGGCAGCATATTACTGTATGAAAAACAAGTAACGCGTTTGAAACCATGTGTAATAATAATAGCTAACCTGATGCTAAGATTGTTAGGCTGAGTAGAACTGCTTGAAGAAGCCATGGTAATCTAATAACCATGACTAGGTTTTGTAGATGAGATCTGAAAGCAATACAAAAATATAATATGTATTTATTTTATTTATGTTAAACCGAATCGATTATAACGGTAAAAGATTGTGTCGCGCGACATACCCACCTAAGCTTTTTCTTACGCTACGCTAAGAACTTTGTGTACCGCTAATAGCAATAAAATGATCATAAAAAGTCCCTTTTTTTCCTCCATATTAGACTATTACTTATAAACATATGAGAGAAAGTAGGTCAACGGTTATTATGTCATAAAAGTTTTAGTATAGCGGGTGGAACTTTTTACGATCAAAAATATCTCGTAATTCATTTATAATTTATATGAAAATTACTACAAAAAAGGTTCGTTCGCGTCCTTAGGTCCACATCTCATCTATGAAAATTGTAATTAATAAAGTTAAGCACTGCTTTGTAGTTTATGCGAGTATAACTTTAAAAATAACGTTTAAAACGGTGTAAAACATTTACAATTTATTGTAACTAGAGCCCGTCGTTTCGAATACCTTGCGCGGTTACAGTAAAATAAGACGTAGTTAAAATTCTAAATAAGTAATGCGAACACATTCCGCGTTTAAAACCGTTAAAAGTGTTTTATTTATACTTCTAATAATACTAAGTTGTTAATACGCATAATGGAATGTATGTTGGTAACTGATGATTTGGAATACATTTTTATATTAACAGGACACTGAGTTTCTCTAACTTCCCATTGTATCATTGTATGGTAAAATGTTAATGCGTAATTCTATATGAGTATGTGAAACAAGGCAAAGCACTTTTCCATTTTATTGTCATACGCGTAAGTACACATACGAGTACAAGCGTAACCCGCATTGACATAATGAATAACCATGTCAGGGTTATTTTTTAAGCTATTTTAATATGTACGACTATCATTACGTATTGTTATCTCACTTTTTACCGCGAATACATAGCCAACCAGATTTTTATTCAAATAAGCATAATCTGTGGATATTGTGCTAATTTCAAATTCATAGATAAATGATTGTCTATGAAAACACTAAGTTCGAAAATCTTAGAACAAGCTTTGATGGCGGGTTTTTACAGATTTGAGCCGATATTCCGTTTGCGTGTAAGAATCTTATGTGGGTTATCCCTTGAGATCTTTTTCCGTTCTCTCGTATCAAACAGGTAATAGTGAGAAATTTTATATTAGATTTTTATTCAAATTTACTAAAGTAATTAAGTATTGTCCACCATATAATTGTTTTTCGGGATGGTCGACGTGAGCGAGAAGAGGTTCTCGACGTTTCGCCATCACGTGCGGACGGCATCATCAGGAGATGTTAACTCCTCGATGAAGAATTACATTAATTCTTCGAGCAATCGAGGAATCCGAGAAACAATGATATGCTGAACGATAGCCGTGAAAGCCTTACACAATTTAAGTATTGTCTAGTTTACGCGTATAGTAAAAGTTAAAAAAAAACGTGACTTTTTTAATTATGTTTTTGCGTTGTAAACCGTTTAAAATGATTTATTCAAATTAACTAGTCAAACAATATATGATAATCCGAAATTATAGAAACCTAATCGGAAGTATCATAAATGTGCCTTTAGTGAAGATTTTTTTGGGAGAACTTTGCGCACCAAATAAATAAATACAATATGATCAACATTACAATTTATCTTTTGTCTCGTAACTTGACATTTGCTATGAATTTTATTGAATAAATTAGCCTTTTTTTTTTTGCTTTAATCATATCAACAATAGTAAAGCTTTTAAAGAATAATTGAGTGTCAGTCATCGAGACAATCTTACGCAATGATAATATTAGTAGTCATAAGCGTAAGCCTAAAGGAAGAAGGCGGTAAGTCAAAATTTTTTTACCCTAACGCTTACAACTTCTTTATGTTCGTACAAAATACCTTTAATCTGACTTAAATTACCTTTTAAGGCATTGCCAGTCAATTTAAAGTTTTCGCTAAATGGCTTCTTCTTATAGATTTTCCAGGGGAGTTACCACCCCAGCCCCCGGGCACGTCTTTGAGTAGGATTACTGTAAATCCTATCTCGCTCACGCGATGTATCACTTGGTTAATTGGGTAATTTCGTAAGAACATGAGTCAGCATTTTAGCTTACACGGACGTGGAGGTCGCCACTTTCTCCGCGCTTCATTGACTTTACTGGAAAGAAAGTGACGGCTGCGACCGTATCGCACACGTTTTGCACTGCGCACACAATAAATATTTGCGAATCGATACAATGCAATTTTTTTAATAATAGAGAAGGACAGACAAGTTCACTCGATCGTAGGTGATATACCTATAGCATCTAAACAAGATGTGCTGTCGTCCTATTTTGGTCTTGGATCGATTATTCACATTAGATCTCCGAACGTCCAACATGTTTCAAAAATTTTTTTAAATATTGGACCCGGTGGGAATCGAACCTACGGCCCGTTGATTAACCATACATTGCTACCATTAGACAAACGAGCCCATCCAAATCTATCAATGTGAAATCCAATCGTTTTTTTTAGGGAAGTATTTGATCAGACGTCTGTGGCCTGCCCGGCCGTAATTTATTGTGTCCCCGGTAACTTAGGACACCACTAAGCTAAGGCGTAATCTTGTCAATTTTTAAATAAAAACCTTTTAACGATTTAAAACATCAATGTCAAACTCTCGGAAACTGCAGACAATATTTTAGAGATATGGCGTTTCCCTTATAGCATTTAAAACATAAATATTAAAATAATTTATAAAACATTACAATAATAGTAAAATTAAAAATCAAAGTGAAATTTGTTGTTATGTCAAGTCGACGGTACGGAACCCGCCGTGCGTAATTCCGACGAGACACTTAACTAAACATTTACCTATAACAGCCACTGTATCCATATACAAGACATCCAATTATAAAATCTATTATTGTAGTATTGTTTACGCTAGTGGTACGCACTATAACAATATTATTATTAAAACACTTTTAACTGATTCAACCCACAACCCGATATTTTCCTGACCACAGCTGCAAAAATACGAAACGTCGGTTCGTGTTTAAAAATAATTTAACAGATATAATCCGTGTTTGAATCGGTTAAAATAAATTTATCTGACTTTCTTTTATACCTAGCGTTGTAAGTTTCAAATGTTATTTCGCTTTTCCCAATAAAAACCTTAACTGTTAATTATTCTCTTTCACAAAGATAGGTATAAAGAATATTTCCGCATTACGTGTCGTTCGTATGCGACTGTCAGTGAAGCCGACTGCTTGTTACTTTTTATGTAATGCCATTACGGAACACCAAGGTCTACAGGGGTATATCGATGTCTGATATTGATTTCTGTACAGCACAACTGTTATTACAGAGAAAGAAGATAGGTCCTAGCCAAACCATATAAGAGCTAGACGCGCTATCGATATACATTTGGTAATCTACAGGCTAAAACGGGAACGCGACCTATAATTCGGATTTCTGTCTGTGACATCTCAACAAGATGCGTCCATCTATTTTTCCGTTAACCCACAGACTGAAACCATAACGGCATTATACTTTTTCACCTGTTAACGTTCGAATCTGTAATCGTCACTGGAACGAAATATCCTTATTTTTTCTAAAAATTTAAATCCAGATATTCCGTACGTAGTTTTGATGTTTCAAAAGTGATAGAAATATGTTGGAATCGTACCCACGCCCCGTTTATTATTTACATTATTTTGTTACTATTGAACTGACGACTCCGTCGAAAACATTGATTGGATCTAAACCAGTCCTAGGTAATCCAACAGTCTAGAGTCTGTTACGAGACTACTTTCATTCAATTTCTCCAAACTTAATCTTGCACTCAATCGAATGTTAATGTGTCAATTAAGTTTAAAGTTCCCCTTAAATCAACCGTTTTATTGACCCCCTTTAAAAATGTAATTAGAAAATATGATTGTTAAGAAAAGGCGTATTTTGAGTAATTTATAACAGCTGCCTCCACGTCCAGTGTTTGAATCCTGGGGAAACAATAAATTGTTTCGGACGTGCAAGACACAGAAGTTTGATCAACTACTTGCGCGAGAGGTGCATGTATCAATCAAGTCGAATAATTTACGACGATGAGGAGTAGGACTCGGTAGCTCAAGTGGTAGAGCAACAGCACGGAACGCTGACGATGCCGGTTCCAGTCCTGCCCGACTCGATTTCTCAGGATGTATGCTTTTAGCATTTTATATCGTCGTATTCAGCTATACAAAATTCAATTTGAATTTGGTATCAGATCGGAATGTTAGATTATACCATCAGTATTGTTAACGGCAGGTACCTAAGTACATTGTTTTTTCTAATCACACCGTTTCAACCGCACCTTCCTAGTGTTTAACATGATCACATGATATTATATTCATAATGTGCGTGGTTAAATAATTATTTCCTTTATTTTATTAAAAACTAGCTGTGTCAGCGACTTCGTTCGCATCGAAAAGTAATTTTGGGGATCCAAATTGGTTTTTGTTTCTCCTTTTCATCTTTATAAATTTAAGCCATTACCCACGACATCGTTCGACGTCGACGTCGTTCTTGCCGTCGGATATAGTGTCGCGGACTTAGATCATTTAAAGAACCCTATTCCGTAAAAAATACATACAAATCAAATAAAATGTTTGCAGCTCTAAATTTTCGATAATTTTATACACATATAAGATTGTCAAACTCTATAGATCAAATTTCTACTCGCTCCTTGCAGTATTTTTTTCTTATTTTTTTTCAATTCCTTAAAGATATCTATCTCAAACAACGTATGCCGCTGGTATGGTCAGATAGTATTATATACTTCACTTTGTGTATACCGTAGGTAGCAACCGTACAAGAGAAATGTAAACCCACTTGTTACTTTACTTCCAGCACTCAGATTTCTATTTCGACTAGACAGATGAACGAGTTTTTAAACATATTGAACACAATCGTAGTGTGATACATAAAGTTGTATACAATTTTAAGTTTACAAATTTTACGTCGAATATGATCGTTTAGTTTAG